CAGTTTCTTATTCTAGCCCTGGGTGATGGGGAAGTGGTTTTTCTCTTCACTTCTGTGTGATAAGCAGTAGTATTCCCAGTTCTGAGAGCCTGACCTCATAAATGAATTACAATGAATACAAGCAACTCATTTTCCTGAATCATAATTGAAATGAAAATCGCCAACTTTTGGTCTCTTCACAACATCATCTTATTCAGAAGTAAGTTGCTGTTGACATCAAAGGGCTTCAAAGCCTTGGTCTCTGCTGAGTCCCAGGTTTGATACAAATTCTTCTGCCCCTTCCACATGAATGTATATGACACATTTCTCTGGTTAAACTCACAGCCCAACAGCAGCTGATTTCCTAATGCAGACAATTTAATAACTGTGTATCTGTGGTCTTAAGGGGAGGGGTTATGTGCAAGGAAATTTATTCAAGTGATAATGTTCAGAGACTAAGAATTATTACAAAATCATTTTCTTTCTCTAAAGGTCAGTAAGTAAATTATAACAACATATAAAACATTTGTTGAGTAATAGATTGCCATACTTGGCAACATAAACACTCCAGAGATATGTTAATTCATTTCATATAATTTGGAAGCAAATCTTTTCTATCCAAAAAAAGTTTTGCTTTTCCCTAATGCTGCTTGACAATAAAATGCCAAACTAAAATGGAAAGGAAGGTGAAGAAAATGCCGGTGATGGGCTACACCTTAATTTGACAGCCTCGTGCTGTCCTCAGGCAGAGGGGGAGCACAGAACGTGCTCTGGGCATGTGGGCACACTGCAGTTTCAGTCATCCGCCAACATGTACTGAGACTCCAACTGGAACCAAGCTTATGTGAGACCCTGATATCAAAGGCACAGACCTAGCTTTCACAGAACTTCCGATCTAATGAGGGACTCAAAAAAGTAAACAACACAGGGCACTAAAAGCCATGTAAGAGAAAAAATGGGTGCTACCAGACAGCACAAAGGCCACCTTAAAGGATATATGAAAAATAAGAAGGAATTGGGAAGAAAAAAAAAATTAGGTGGGGTGAGGGGGACAGGATGGAAGAGAGAAGAATGTATACAAAGCCACAGAAGCAAGAGAGCACAGAGCATGCCCAGCATTTGGTGGCAGAGACGGCAGTTGGGAACCTGTTGCAAGATGATGGGACTCAAACAGCACCAAGCATTTCTCACTGATCACTGTCTTGGTCCAAGCACTGGGATAAGCACTTCATGAGCATTATCTTATTAAATCCTTACAACAACCCTGAGAAGCATTTCACAGATAAGACAGGGGCTGATATTTTCTTACTTCCTTATTATCTGTCATCCCTAATCTCCCCCACAACTAAAATGTATGTATTTACTGCTTTGGCTGCTGCTTAAAATAGTACCTGGCATTCAATACACATTCAAGGCATCTGGGATAGGTGGCTGAACCAATCAACCATTAGAGGAATTCTGCCCAAGATCACGGTGAGCGAAGGAACCCACACCCACTGCATCATTACACATACCACACTAAATTGCAGTTTTTAGTCTTTGCTGGTCCTTCTCAGCCCCTCTGTGCTGGTCCCTCGTCTCACCAGCCTAAGACCTAGTCCTGAGCCTCTTCTACACCCATTTCGTTGCTGCTCTCTTCTGATTTTGTGGTTTCAAGAGCCACTGATTCACCGGCACCTCTCGTGATTTCTATCTCCATCACAGATTTTTCTCAGTAACTCCAGACCCTTTTATCCAACCATCTACTCAACAGCTCCGCTTGGATACCGAATGACCTACTGTACCCGAAAACCTGCTCCTTTCTTTGTGTTCTTCATCTCATTTAATGGCAACTCAGTTCTTCTAATTCTTCAAACCCAACAGGTCAAAACCTTGGTATTATTCTTGAATTGTCTCTCTCACCCTCTATCCAACCCATTAACTCTTATCTTCAAAATATATCCAGAATCCAACTTGTTACAACCTTTACTGCTGCTACTCTTGTCCGGCTGCCTTCATTTTGCCCAGATTATTGCAAAGCTTCTCATAGGTCTCCTTGCTTCTGCCATGGCCTGTCAACTGGCTCCCATGAGTCAGATCCCTCCAGTGCCACAACCCACCCACGAGCTCCGGGAGGTCCTCCACAGTGCACCTCCTACTGTGCTCCCCGCGCTCGGTCTTCTCCGGCCACACTGGCTCCTCGCTGGTTCAAGACAGACTAACCCATCCCATGTTCAAGTCTTTGCACTGCTGTACTCTCGCTGGGGCATGCTCTCCACACACCTGCATGACTCATTCCCTCACCTTTCAGGTCTGTACTCAGCTGTCACCTTCCCAATGAGCAATTCCATCTAACACTGTAACCCTTCCCCTCCTCATTTACATACAACATTGCAACTGATATTATTACGACGAATACACTATAGATTTTACTTATTTACTTTTCATCCACCTCTCCCTAGCACCCAACTGCAATGGAGCAAGGACTCCATTTTACTCACTCCTACATCCCCATCACCCACAAAAATGCCAGGCACATGGGAGAGCTCAATAAATATTTACTGAATGAAGGAATAAAAAAGTGATTTATATTCTTTACAGGATCTTCTCCATGCCAGATACACCAGGCAGCAATCAGACGGACTGGGGAGACAGAAAATTTTGATAGAATTGAATTACACATAGCTGATAAAACATCATAAAAAGGTTGATGGATTTATTTTGAAGAATCTTTCACATTTGTTTTCTAAGCAACAGAGGACAAACAAGGAGTCTGAAACAATCTGAAAATGTTTTTCAAAAGTACTTTTTGGAATTTTATTTTTATAAATTTTTTTAATTCATGTATTAAAATTTATACCAAGACAAAAAAAATCATGTAAACTGTATCATAAATACAAAACTAACAGTTATCCAAACATACAAGACACATACAATGTAAAAAAAATTTTATAAAATGTGATATAATTTCCAATACAAAAAAATGCATGAAAATGCTTACCTGCCAGTGCAAAGCCATGCCTCCCTTGACTGAGCACTTGAGCTGCCAGGAAATGTACGGCTGCATCCTACTAGGCTCTTCTTCACGCCCCTGTTACCTTGTCTTTCTTCCCATTGTTCTTTCTCATTTATTTGTCAGACAAAGGCCAATCAAGGCCTTTTAAAAGCCGATGTTTGTTGATATTTGTTGACAGTCAAGTTTGGTTAATTCCAAAAGTTAATACTTTATACTCTGAGCTGTAAATGAGTTCCTAAACACTGTATACAGATCAAATTATGATGTGGATACTCTAAGCAAAACATACCATGTACAGAAATTTCTTTTACAAAATTAAGATTTCACATTATATTTGCTTAAATCACAGTAAGTCTATAACTAGTTCCTCAACCCATCGTTTAAAAAAAAAAAAAACAAAAAAAACCAAACACTTCCTTAACAATATGAAAGATTTTATTCACTATATGGTTCTCTGAAATGCTAAATAGGAACATCTAATCTAAAAATACGTCTGGAGTGGTCTAATCCCCCTGCCTACCCATATCTATTAATATGCAATAACAATCAAAACTGGTTCACAGGCTCTGGCTGGGTAGCTCAGTTGTTAGAGCAGTGTCCCAATATTCAATTCCCGGTCGGGGCACAAATGAGTGCATAAATAAGTGGAACAACAAATCGGTATTTCTCTCTCTCCCAAACAAATCGATATTTCTCTCTCTTCCTCTCTCCCTCTCTCAAATCAATTTAAAAATAAAAATAAAATTTAAAAAGAAACTGATTCACGGCCTACTTACTGTTACCCTTAATACTCTGCTACAGCAACAACAATTTTTGATTTTTGGGTGTTTTCTTTTATAATGTGACAAGCACATCTATTATTAATTTAGCAGCATTTTCCTTAACAATATATTTCTGGAAAAATGTTTAGATTTAAGCTGCAATCAAGGTTCCTAATCTAGAGATCAAAAAAAAAAAACCCAAACTGATCATTGATGCTGATGGGCTTTTTCCCTGTCAGAAGCTACCTTTTCTGATTAACCGTGGAGGGAGGGAGGGAAAGGAAGCAGATAAGGAGAGAAGAGAAGGAAGATAGACTCTCATTGGAGGGTTACAGGTTGACACCATCCAAAGTCACAATGACTCCTGGTCCTAAAATTCACTAAGAGAATAGCACTGGCAATGCCATTCATCTAAAAGTAAATGGAATTAGAAGAAAATGATTTCTTACTATTTTATATTTCTTAGAAAAATTGTTATTAAAACTTACTAAGATTGGCTTCTCCCCAATTAATCTGATTTACTAACATTTAACTGTGGAGCAACTGCTTTTAAAAAGAGAAAAAAGTAAAGATTAAGAAAAAGGTCTGGTACGTAAAAAAAATCAGGGAGCAGGCGAGTGCCCCGCTCAGAGGCTGACTACTGGAGCCCAGCTACAGCACTGGCTGCCCCTCAGCTAGTGAGAAAAAGACAGGCCAGTAAGATCTACTCTCTCCAACACACATAATTTTTACTTCACAGAAAGAACTTTCAAAATCCAAGACTCACTTACCTAATGAATTAAAGGAAATATTGAAAATTGTGCACACAGACACAATATTTTTAAAGCAAATTTAGGGAGTGCAAATAAGCTCGAAGATTGTATTTGGGAAAACTATACCCCGGTGGGGTAAGTGCGGTTGGGAAATCAGGCCGCCGCTAATCCAAGGCACAGCCCCTCATAATGATCGTGTTAAACACACATATTTCCTTCGAATTCTCCTCATTAATTATGTCAACCAATTTGACTGTATCAAGAGATAATTGTACAAACAGTATATAGTAAGGAACATATTTACATTTTCATTTGCATCTTAAAGACAAACTGTTAAAAATAATGATGATGATTATGAAAAACAAGATAAAAAGTATGTTCATTTGGAAAAAAGCTACATTAGTATTATTCACCCAACCACAAACGCTTTTGTAGTGAATGGAATACTGCAAAACAATTCACAGCTTTATAAAAGTTGATATTCAGAGTTCATCACAATTTTTTCCAATTCAAAATTTAAAAGAGTTCAACGTACATTAATGTTTAACTATCTTACTCTAAAATCTGTAAAATATATAAAATACCAAGATTATCAACAGTCACATATGTTTTGAAGTCAGGGGACACATGTATTTTCTTAAGGTTGGTTCCATTTGTGTAGAAGGTCTGTGAGGATTCCCCAGTGACAACATTCCACCACTGTTAGGAGAAAAATAAAATTCCCATTAGACTGGTAATTATACTGTGTGACAATCTGTAGTGCCAGCCAGATCCTTCACTCTGTCACCTCCCCATGCCCAAACTTTAAGCAAACAGCAGGAAAGCAGTCTAACGTTTAATGCTGAATACAGTTATTATAACCAGACCCGCCTTTCCTGATCAACCCTGGTGACTGCCTCCCAGCTACCCTACACCTATCTGCACTCAAAGTGTACTGACGAAACGCACAGCCTGTTGAGAGCATCAGACACAAGGCCACACAAAGTCCACTATGGCCATAGCAGGACCAAGCTCTCCTGCCTGCAGGCCCTCAGTGGAATGGACAGAAGAATGCCTTCTGTTCTCTAAAAATGCCTCTTTGCAGACACAAACTGGTATTCTGGCAGACACCAAAACTATTCATAATAGGGGCTACGGGTCCTCTCTACTGAATCTTCCCTTTCACCAGGAGTGACTGAAGAGCTGGTGATCAAGTTTAAATTTAAAACACTCTATGCATGTGTGTGTTAAACAAATAGTGAACACCTCAGACATGGCAGGTGCTCTGGCCAAGTCCTTCTTTTCTCCTCCCAATTACTGAATTTGCTAAGACTGTAACAATGTTTACATTCATTTACCAAACAGATCATAAAGCTTACCCATATATGTCACAGCTAAAATGAGGGCAAAAGAGACACAGTACATGAACACCTTTTGAAAAGGGCTCACGTATGTCAAGATTCTGAGTATTATGAACGCAGTAACGGTGTGACTCACTTTCACATCCATGGCGGTGCCTCGCACTATGCCTTGCACATCTGGCTGAGTTGGTTTTCGTGTTCACTATCAGTAATAATAACTAGTAAAAGTACATCCCATGGACTTCAGTAAACCTCACTGAAGCAACATGTACTAACTTGAAATCTTCCAGAATTGACAATTTTGCTTTGTAAAGCAGCAATGTAATCAAGACAGCAGAGGACACATTCCACCTACATGAGAGAAGACTCAGTTTTCAGCTGCAAGGGGCAAATCAGAGAGGCAGTGGGCCCTAAAGGGCCACCCAGGAACCACCTCATTTTACACATAAGGAAACCAGGGTTCTGAGAGAAGACAGGCCTCATCACCCAACGTGACCCTGCCAAGCAGGTGGCAGAGGTGCGAGTCTCTGGCTTCCCCATCAATGCTTCTGCCACCTGTACCTCTGTTAAAACAGACCCTTGTACTTTGAAACACTCCACCAGCCCCTAATTTGAGTGTGCACTAAAAAGCAATGATATTAAAGTGATACCTAGTACAGGGCATTTTTAGGGCAGCGACACTACTCTGTATGATACTCCAAGGTGGACACATGCCATTAAACATTTGTCAAAATTCATAGAATGAACAACACTAAGCATGAGCCCTGATGTAAACCACGGACTCTGGGTGATAAGGATGTGTCAATGAACATTCATCAATTGTAACATGCACCACTCTGGGGTGGGATGTTGATAGTGGGGAAGGTTGTGTATGTGTGGAGCGAGGCTGTAGTGGAACTCTGTACATACTGCTCAATTTTGCTATGAACCTAAAACTGCTCGAAGAAATAAACTGAATTTTTTTTTTTTTAAATCACAGCTAACATTTACTCAGGGTACACAATACTACTATAAATGCTTTAATCCTCCCGACCTTATACGGTAGAAATTATTGTGCCCATTTTACAGGTAAGAAAACAGAGGTATGGAGAGTTTAAATAATCTTGTGATTAATACGAACATTAACTTAACAAAGCTAATGAGTAGCAGAGCCAGGCTTTAAATTCGGTCAGTGTGCCCCAAGGCTCACTCCTGACCACTCCCCTCTGCTGCCTCTAAGTAATGGCAAACCTGCACTCATTGCCACATATTCCATATTTTAAACCCACTTTTCCCCTCGTGAGTATGCATTAATGGGGGTTTCTTGTCACTCTATCAGTATATACCCTGTGGCATAACACAGGTAAAGAGCTAAATTACAGTATTTTTTAAATTTACAAATAGGAACAATTTTGAGAGTTAAGAGCTTTCTAGCTATTGGATACCTACTTTATCTTATGGACATTCAATTTATACAGCTTGGATTCTAAAGTAAACAGACTCAAAAGGCCTATTTTCTTGGACACTACAGCAGCTGCTCCTTTTTACTTTTAATTTGCTCTGTGCTTTGGATCATCTCATTAACATGCTGGGTAGATGCAGGCAGGGCTCCCTCACAATCAGCTTAACCAGAGGGAGGAGCAGCCTGACTGTCACAAACACACACACTGAATACACAGGCGATGGGGCCTTCCACCCTGAAGGCATTAACCCCTACAGTACAGCTTTCTACCTGGTGCTTTATTTTAAAGTTCTCCAAGAACTCTGGAAATCTAGTCATTGATCTCTATCACATCTCATAAGCCAGACTCACGATTACAGAACAGCCTTCCAGCGGGCCAGCAGCATCAAACGACATGGTCTCTAGAAGCTCAGAGTCAAAGCAGTTTTTTAGCAGTTAATCAAGATCAGGCAAGACTCCCAGCTCCCAACACAAAAACCGCAATGCCGCCATTCTAAGCACCATCCTCAGAGCAGACGAAGTTTATCCTTATGTTAAAGGAGGACAAGCGCTGACAGTCTCACAATTCCCTAGTGACTAAATCAAGGCATGCCAAAAAGAGACAGCTTAATGCTACATGCTGTACACAGTATTGTATTTTAAATGCAAACGTACAGGAATCGTAACGTACATCCTCTCATAGAGCTAAAAACTGCCCTCTTATCTTTCTGATAAGCTAAATTTTTATGTTGAGTAAAATTACAATTGCATGGGTCTCGTATTACCAAAAACTTTGACTCGTTCATTCAAATATTTTTTAACATCTACACTGTGTTAGACAATTATAATCATCTCCTTCTTATATTTGAATGTCATCAGTAAGGGATAACAGTATCATAGATCTAATTTATGAGGGATCTATTTTAAGTGGTCAGTACAATACATAGCATCATCTTCTACCCCTTTTCTAAGCAGACCAATATTCAACAGGCTCACCTCAAGCATCCCCCTCCACAGAAAGCCTCTGCTAACTCCCAAAGGTAGAACTGTTCATTCCTCTCCTTTGGGCCTTTACTATCCTTATGCAGACAGGTCCCAGAACCCCTCCTACACTCCAGAGATTTTGTTTACTGTCTGCTTCCCCCATAAACTATAAGGAACCTGCTGGCACGAACCAAGTTTAAACATCGTGCCACATAGCAGTGTCTCGGTACACAGTTGGGCACGTAACACATCTTTTTGAGTGGATGGATTAATAGATCCAAGCACCAAAAAATGACCCTGAGGCACCAAGACCCACTCCAGCCTTGGCCCCAGTAGTCACTCATAAGCTTGTATACGCCAACTTACTAACTACACAATTTTAGGGAAGACACATTTCTCCATGAGCATCAGTTTTCTCACCTATAAACCAAAGATAATAAAATTTAAGCCTCACAAAACTAGCTAATGAGATGATGTAAGTAAAGCATTTTGTAAACTTGCAATATGTTCCTGCTATTGTTACTAATACTGCAACCACCACTACTACTATTGCTATTACTACTAATAAATTTCAGAATTTTTTTAAAAGACTTTCAACCCAAATAGTTAATAATTATGAGATAGAAATTAAAATTAGGTTAAACACCCCACTCACTAGTCATTCTGATCACCTAAGACTTTGTACAGGGCAGTGTGAGAGCTCTGGACCAAGAGCATCCCCAGCACTGCCACGAGAACTTCCACCAGATCTAGGAAAGCAGCCTTACATCTCTCAGGCTCATCCCTGCAAAATGGGAGTAACAGGAATTGCCCTTCCACTCTGCTGGGCTGTATGAGGACCAACAGAGAAAAAGGAAGCTTGGAAAATGGGATATAGGCTGTTCTTTTCTTTCAGTCTTTAATGCACTCTTACCTTAAGATAGCCTCCAGCAGAGACAAGCATTTTGCTATCTGGAGAAAAGCAGAGGTCGGTCACCCAGCCTCCGTGGGTAGCAGCTCCTTCTTCTATGGAAATTGGAGGGCACGAATGAAGAAGCGCACCGTTTGACACATTCCATATCTACACAAACATGATGCACACAATTCATTAATAGGATTACCCAGAAATTTTTTTATATACCTCTATCTCATCTGAAACATATTTAGAAATCTTTCTTTAAAATGTAATTGCAAGTTAGTGATAACCTTAGAAATTTTTTAGATTGTAATCTCTCCTGTTCAAATTTTTTTTAAAAAATGCCTTACTTACAATATTTATCATTGACTATAATCCAAAAAATAATACTGTGACTCTTTTCATTTAATAAAAAGAGAATAGTGGGAGAAACAAGAAATAAACAAAGAAGACCTAACAAAAACTACCTCAAAAAAACGAAGAACTGTCACCCCAATAAATTTTTTTAAAAAAGAATTGTAGTCTAAGATATACCACTTTGAATGTGACAGATGTCATTCAAATGTTAAGTATGTATATTAAACACTAAGTTAAAAAAAAACCTAGATGTATAAACAACCTAATTACTTACAGATGCTACAATTTCCATTTATTTCCAGTGACAATATATAAGAAGTACTCCAATTTTTCAAAGAAATGCCTATCAGATTAAAAATAGAGGCATAAAAATATCAAAGCCATCATTTGTAAATGTATCCCTAGAAAATCCAGAAGAATTACATGCAATTGAAAATAGTCAAACTCATAAAACAGAAAATAGAATTGTGATTGTCATAGGCTAAGAGGAAGAGAAAATGGGAAGGTCATGGCCAAAGAATACAAAGTTTGCTATGCAAGATATATACACTGTATTGTGTATTTAAAATTTTCTAAGAACGTAGATCTTATGTTAAGTGTTATTACTACTGACAAGGAAAATAATAATAATAATAATAATAAAGAGGATGGGAGGGAACTTTGGGAGGTGATAAAGATGTCTGTGGCCTGATGGCGGTGATGGTCTCAAGGGTGTATACTTATCCCCAAACCCACTGAACTGTATACACCAACTGTGTACAACTTTTTACATGTTAATTATACCTTAATAGAGTAATATTAATTAATGAATGATAAAGGAATAAATAAAGCTATAAAAGTGCCAAAAAAACAAAAAAGAATCAAATGGAAAAACTCATTAGGAGGAATTCAGCAAGACAGCTAGACATAAGATAAGACCATTTTTTCCTTCAGGGTTTTCTGAAAAATGAAACACTGCCTCATAACCAGTAAAGGAGCCATTTCATCCAAGATGAGAGCTTAGCAAAATGAATGTTCCCCAAGCAGCCCTGCCACTTCAGAGGAGGTGGTATTTTTAAGAATGGAATAGAGATTCTTTACTTAGTCCTCAAGCAGGAGAATCGTTTTCCGCAAAGCCTATCTGGTAACGCCTGTATTTCTGCCAACTGCATATTCTCTCATTCTTCTGCATTACATACCTATTCCTGAAATTTTAACTCCTTCTTTGAAAAAAAAAAAAAAAGAAAAGAAAGAAAAAATGAACAACGAGACCCTCCTCCAATCAAGTGTCCAATCCTTCTAACACAACCAGAGGCTGGCAGTCCCCTGAGGCCCGCCACAGGCCCCACTGTCAAGGTTGACTTGCTAATGGGTAGAGTGCTTAAGGAGGTGTTTTCTTTCAGTGCTGAAAACAGCAGAATATACCCTTCATTTATAATCTAGATAATGATTTACGAAATTATATTCCTCATATTCTGCCACTAAAAACAACCTTTGGTTTAGGTCCAATAATTAAGATGACTCACTCTCAAGCTAAGAGCAGAGAACCAACTGTTAATAACTGGGGCACCTGCCTCCTCACATACATAGGAAATGATTCACTCTAAAATGAATTCTCTTCTGCAGTACAGTGCTTCTGTGACCATAACGTGCACAAGAAACAAAACAAAGAATGCCTCGTCCATCCAGAACCCAGGACCGGTGCTTTCTTGTCACATTAGCGAAGGTCCCCAAAGTGGTGCAGAGGGCTTGCCCAAGCAACACGAAGAGCCTTCATGTCTGCGAACACCCTACCTTGATTTCTCCATTGTCATCTCCAGTTGCCAACAGGGTACTGTCCACAGAGAAGACAGAGCAGCGCACACAGCCTTTGTGGCCCTCCAGTTCATGAAGAGGCGCAGGGAGTTCAAAACTCCAAATCTGGAAGACAATTAGGATTGCTTAGGAACAGTAAATACATTCAAAATAAGCATTTGCAAACCCTGCCTCAAGTGCCAGTTAACCATTGAGTCAATCACATGGAAGTTCTAGCATTCATCAGTTCATAGACTTCCATGGGAGGCCCAAGTTCCCACTCACAACCTTGTTTATTTTTTACTTTCTCTTTAATTACTCAAGTTCACTTCGGCTCAAGAACCAAAGTTGTTAACTTTAGATTTAGAAGGAAGAACAACAGTGAGTGAGTTAAGGCTGGTCTGTGGTGTTGAAGCAGACTTGAGTGTGAGTCCTGGCTCCACTATCTACTAGTCCCCTGTGGCCTAGGACAACCCACATAAGACACTGTAGCTTCAGTTTCTGCATCTGTCAAATGGAGACAACAGTACCTATGATGTGAAGATTAAATAATAGAGAGTGAAATTCCTAGCACAGGGCCTAACATATGGCAAGTGTTCCTTAAAGCGTAGTCACTATACTATCCTATGATCCTGGCAGTCAAACGCAGTTCTTTTCCTTCCAATATTCTCCCTCATGGTTCTGTCACCTCCATTCAACACGCATATGCTCAAAACTACCATCTCCCTGGCATTGTGTGCTAAGATCTGGTGGTACAAAGATGAACTGGGTAAAGTCCCTGCCCTTGAAAAATCTGTAATTTAATCAGGAATACTGGCTTATGAGTGGTTAAGTGAACAGTTGTGTGAAGTAAATGCTCTAACAAATGTGAGTAATCTGTCATGGGCACACTGACGGTGCAGCAGCTAATCCTGCCTGAGGGCCAGGAAAGGGTTCCCTGAAGAGCTGACATCAAACCTAGGTCTGGAAGAATGAGTCATAACGCTTCAGGGTAAAAAAGGAGTGAAAGGCTGTGTTGAGCCAAAGTTAACAGCATGCACAAAAAGACTAGGGAGAAGTAGCCCAGCACATAGGGAACAATGTAGCAGAAAGAGATGGTGATGAGCTATGAATCTGGCTTACAAACCATCAGGTCACAGAGGTGTTTCAGCAGGGACGCAGACAGCAGCAAGGAAAGATAAACTGGAGGAGCTACTGACCAGAGGCAGGGCCACCAAGGAAGGAAGAGAGCCTGGTCTTAAGAGTGGGAGCAAGGAAAGGAGGAGGATCCAAGAGACATTGAGAAGTAATGAACAGAGCACAAAAGACAGGAGAGTCCTAGGCAATTCCAAGGTTCTTGGAAAGATAGGTAGATAATAATGCCATTAACAAAGATGGATAAAAAAGAAGAGAATGGAGTATTCGATATCCCCAAAAGGCAGCATTATTTCACTGGAATGTGATTTTTCAGAAGCATCAACTTATATCGATTATATAAAAACTTACTGTGAATATACAATTAAATGTAAACCTTTCTCAATACTTTTTTATTGACTATGATATGCCTTCGATTGCATTTGATCAGTAAAAGACAAAAAGACTAAATGTCAAAGGAAACCCTCGAAAAACTCACAAAATATGACAGACATGCAGTCAGAAACTTAGTCACTTTGTACATTATTTGGACCCATAATACATAACAAATACCAAAGTTTTATGCATGCACATTTCAACTGACTGACCCACCTTTGCAGTCTTGTCAGCAGAGGTGGACGAAAACTTGGTAGCATCAGGAGAAATATCACAAGAAAGAACTGTATCCTGGTGACAGACAAAGTCTTTCTCTACTTTTCCAGTAGTAATATCCCATACCTTCAAAGAAAAACTCAGAAGTTGATACTTAAGAACATTTTGTATTACTGAACATAATCAGCTAGAAGACAGACCTATGAAAAAGAGCTTTAGCTCAATTGTGGTTTGACCTCTTTCCGTGCCCTTTCAGTACAAAAGCTCATGCACACAAAGCAGATGTAGGTGACTGCAATAAACTTATGACAAGCATGAGAAAACAAATTTGAAAATATAAGTAGTTACTTATCATCCATCTGCTTTTGGCTATCACAATATGATCACTGCAACATTAGAATACTTTTTTAAAAAGAAATCTGTTCTTCAAATTACCTTCACCGTTCCATCAAATGACCAGGAAAGCAGTCTTGAATTTTTCAAGAGCCTAAAGTCTTTCACTGTTTCCTGATGGGCTTGCAGAAAGATATAATCCCCTGATTGCCAATTCCATACCTGAATATCAGAGAAATAAGTCTATTATAACCCTCTCCTCATAATACCCCATTGGAGGGGTAGGGAAGAATGTGCTCACTTGTTTAAAGTCTTTTTTTTATTTTATGAATTTATCTGAGTCAAACTGAAGACATATGCCTGGGAGCAAGATCTCAAATGCTCCCATTTAAAGTCTTTTATCCTCATTGCATTTCAGTAAAACAAAGAAAAGTACCAAGAAGAAATATGGTGTTCCCATTTTACGGACAGAGATGAGAAAACTTGAAGTTAAATAACTTGACTGGGGTAAAATAAAATAATTTTCCTCATAAATAAAATTTGTTTTCTTCAGTTGCTTAGAGAGCAGTTAATTACACCAGAAGATGGAGAAAAGCCACAATATGCCAGTGAGCTCACCATCTGATTAAATTTTCCAGAGAAAATTATCCCAATCACCTATTTACAGATTTCTAACCTCACAAGCCAGGCAAGTCTGCAGATTCTAGCTCTGCCAAAGCTACTGAATCCTACTGGTCCTTGCCTCGCAAGGTCAACTGACCAGAAGAGCTTCAAACAAGGTCATAGAATTTCCAAGATTCAGAGATCTTAGCTATAACCTAATGCAATCCTCAAAAATGTTTATATAGTACATTATTTTTCACATGGAGCTCCAGGAAGAACTCTTCAGGAAAAAGGAAAGAAGAAATGGAAATAATACAAGTGACTGGCACAAAATAAGCCATACAGACATACATGAGGCATATAGGTAAACAGAAATTTTATTTCTATGTCATGTCCATGTACAGAATCCTTAATTACTAAATCAAAGCAACTATATTTAGAGTCAAATTAATTTTAAGTCAAAATTAATAAAACAAATATTTACTTAGCACCTCTATGTGAGTGAGGCATATACAAATGAAACAAGGATCTAGCATTAAGAAAATTAAAGGTCTAACAAAGAAAATGAGATATGCCAAAAATAAACAAACAATAGAAGCTCTAATGATACAGACACAGATTCTGTGGAATTCAAAAAAGCAATTCCTCAGAGAAGACTTGATGGAGAGAACACACTCAAAGCAGGCTTGAGGAATGGTTTGAAGTATGATTCACACACTGTGGAGGGCATTTCAAACAAAGGAAATGAATGCTAGAGTTAAAACACAGGAGCAGGAAAACACGGAAAGATTATATAGGCTAAAATCTGGCTGGAGTATAAGAAATGAAAGAGGAACAGCAGAGAAAAAAGGCTGGGAAGATATTCGACGAAACAGCCCAGAGAGCCCGGTCAAGCTTGATTCATGAGCTGTGGACAATCAGGCAGGCTCCAACAGAATTTTCTTCTATTTTGAAAAATCAGCCACCACCACAGGTACACATACGAGTAATATTCTAGATCTGGTTTTGACTGTTGAAGGTTAAACAGCAGAAATGTCTTCAAGGCTTTTCCTAACAGGCTTAGGCAAAATTGTAAAAGAAATGACACCCCCGCCTCCCCCTTCTTTACCCCTTTATCCTCCACACTCAGCAGCTGCCCCCCCCGGCCAGCCCTTGCTCTCAGGTTCTCTCCGTCTCTCCCGTCTGAGTGCTCGTCCACAGAAGCAGGACAGCAGAACAGGGAATCTTCTATCGCAGCAAGAGGAGCTGGAAATGAGAATGACTTCAAGAGAATTGGGAATTTCAGTATTTTAAGAACCCAATGAGCTATATCAGGGGAGAGGGAAGAAAGAGAGGCTTTTCTGGCCCTCTAAATCATATCAGAAAAGAAAGGAACCTGTACAAAGAAACATAAAATACCCTACCTAGACCGTTCCCACTGGGAACTTCCCAGTTCCCTCCTCCTACTTTCCGGGCTTTACTGGACTAGAGGACGAAACACAACTCATATTTCTAAAAATAATCTAACACCAATCCTGAAAATATTCCTAGAAATTATTTCTCCCTCTGGCTGAAAAAATCTAATCTTTAGGCAGGTCATAAAACCTATGAATTGAGCTTCTGACAGAAAGGCTATAGAGTGTACAATGTCTCAGCAGAATTTCATCAGATGTAGTTTAGTTTTACCCATTTCAAAGCCATCTGGAAAGAAAGAAAGATGAGTATTACACTGAGTTTCATAGCTATACACCAGTATCATGGGAGCCTACAATAAATAAGTTTCTGTACTGAAGCCAAATTTCTTTCTAATCATATAGGACTCACAAAGTTTCATAAAAAGTTTTTTTCCAAAATAGCTTTTAATAGTGTAAATCATTCTTATTATCACCAACATAACACATATATACACACATACATATACATATATAGATACTAAATTAAATATATATAGTAACTTCCACTGGGAATATGTATTCATCTCCTTCACTTCTAAAACTCTACTAAAGAGACAAAGTCAAGAGAATGGGGAATAAAAGGTAAAATGTTAGAGGCTGGAAAGCAGGAGAAGATAACTGACTTAGCAGAACCAAGAAAACAGAATCCTAAAAGCATTAGAGAAGGACAAAAGCAACAAAATTAACACTACGGAACTCCCAAATACTCAGAAATCACTAAGTCAGTCACTAAGTATATCCAGAGGTGGGAATGAGGGTGGGGCTAAGAACAGAAGTATTAGGAATTCTGGGAAAATGGCTGCAAAGCAGGCAGTTTTCTTTTTTTAATTTCCCCAAAGCTTCCACTGAAAGCAGACAAAGCAACTGAAATAGCAAAACCAAAAATGCACAGACCACATAAATAACAAGATCATGTTACATGACAAAGTATCCCCACAAACCCCAAGATGCAAGAGAGTAAGGCAAACTGAGAGCTCTAAGATCTACATGGTAATAGTATCTGTGTGGGAAGAAGCAGAGGGAAGCTTGGGGAGCCTGACCGATGTAAAAGAGAAAAATCTGAGAACCAAGTGACATGCACTGGGAAGTGCAGTGGACCAACGGAAGAGCCGCAGAAACTGAGTGCAAGGTGACTGTGGTGCAGTCTGGAAGGGCCAAGCAGTCTGGGCCCTACAAACTCTCAAAATTAACCTGCCCAACCCTACAATGAGGAGAAACTGCTGGGAACAGAATCCAAATTGAGTTGCACAAGGATGATGGCCCCAAAGAAAAGAGGAGGCCTAAAAAAGGTGAGGGAAGGGACCAGAGCAAAGAGATCTCAAGAGAACAGGCCCTATTTTTAATGCTTCATGAAAACAACAGAAGGAGGAGCTGCAGAGCCGGGAGGTAAGAAATGCTGGCCTCCCCTACTCCTTCAGAGTTCAAGAAAATTACTTATTGTAAAAAAGAAAAAAACTGTCACTGAATCCCAAAGTTACTATGAGGGGGAAAAAAAAAAAAAAACAAACAAAACAAAACCCAGAATAATGCTCCTACAGACAGGGAAAACAAACCAGAGAGAACAACCTCTGGATTAAAGGGCACCAGCATAACCAAGGACAGGATTACAGTTGAGAACAGCGATTCAAGTGAAGGTTTACATACTAAACGCTGAGACCCTAACTGACCCCCAGTTCTCTTCCCTCACTTAGCTCTAACAACCTTCAGCCGTATCTGACAAGACCAAGACAAAAGACCTAAAGATACTACTGACCACAAAGTTCCTCATCCAAATCACCTTTAAGAGAGGGTCTCAGTCAACACACAAAACTTTCAATCAGCTTTTCAGTGCCCATCTCTGGTAGAAAATGATTACTACATAGATGAAGGTGGCCTTTAAAATAAAAGGCCAGCCCTGACAGATGTGGATCAGTGGGTTGGGCGTCGCCCCGCAAAGCGAAAGGTGGCAGGTTTGATTCCTGCTCCGGGCACATGCCTAGGTTGTGGGCTCGATCCCCGATTTGAGGTGTGCGAGAACAACCAATCAATGTTTCTCTCCCTTTCTTTCTCCCTCTCTTCCCCTCCCTCTAAAAATAAGTAAATAAAATCTTAAAAAATAAATAAAGGTCCAAAACAACCAAACAGAAGAAAACTAGGAAGGAATAGCAACTATGCAGAAAAATTAAATTTTCAGGAAAAAACTTAGATATAACTATCTATATTATATCCAAGTACCAACTTATATATTATATGTATCCATCAATCCTCAGAGAAGTAAGATAGCTCACCTATGAAATGAAAACACAGTGCTCTTCAAAAGCAATAAACAATAAGAATGGACTCTCTGGCATTAAACATATAAAGGGAGAAATAAAAAACTCAATGAAAGGATTAGAAAATAAAGCTGAGGAAAACTCTTTGAAAAACAGAGCACAGTATAAAAACATGAAATGTAGAAAAAGAAAACTAGAATCTTCCAGAGAGAAAGATTAGGAATCAGAATTGCTTCAGACTTGAATGTTCATTGAAACTTTGATAAAAATAAATTTTAAAAGAACATATAGTAGGCTTAAGATCTCTATATCCACAATCATTCATTATGGTAAACTATTCTTTTTTCACAAGATTTCATCCCTGTAATAAACATTTTATCCTCAAAAGGAAAGAATGAGATTATGTCAATGACATTTTACTACTATAAAATTACATAAATGTAGCAAAAGGTATATTTAGTGATACAAATCAAAATACCAAGGCAGATGGGAGAATTCAAATAAATCCTTGATTTGCAAAATAAAAAACCTTCCAGTAGAAGGTTCTAAGTCGAATCGCCTGCCTCACCCACAGAAGGATGTGAAACACAAATGGGTTTTATCTAAACCCATGTGCAGAGTCTGAATGTATGCCCAAAGTAATACGACGTTAAAGAAATGTTTAAAATGCACGCCAGTTTTGAGCCACAATCCGTGTTCCTTTGCTAGAGTCAGCATTCCATGTTTTAAGAGTTCATCTTCCCTCTCACCTGAATTGTAGAATCATCAGAGCTTGAGATTAGAGTCTTCCCATCATCTGTGAACTGCATGTGCCATACAGTGTTCTTGTGCCCAATCCTAGATCGGAAAATCCTGTGGTTTAGAAGTTCTAAAATCTTCAAAGTAGAAAAATACAGAAAATTAACACAAAGAAACTCACCAAGAACCAAGCATTACACCCTAAAGATATTAAATTAAAATTAGACTACAGAAGGGTACAGAATTTCCATCTCATAGTGCTTTCAGTTAACTAAAGACACACAATGGATGGTACACATACACACACACACATCTACAGGCATACAAAAACATCCCCAAAAAAATAAAACCTTTATAGGTCTACAATGCCAGGCACAAGTTAATTTTAAATAAATAACTATACTGCACAAAATGACAGAAGACTAGAACTGAATACCTCAATGGTTCCACTGTTGTCTCCAAATGCAATGTACTCAAGGTCCGGACTTAAGCAACAGCAACTAACCTGAGCTTCAGTCAGATAATCAATCTGACCTGTTTTTCCATTAATGAGCTAATGAAAAATAAGGCACAATCAGTTACTAGGCAGTAAGAGCCGTTTTTGTTCTTTAGAACAGAAACTTCAATGGAAAAAAAATAATGAAACAGAAAATAACAAGCAAGAGCATGCAGGGGGACAACAAAGCCCCCTCCTAGTCTCACGAGCTGTATTTAGCACTTCATGCTTTCATTTCACTACACTTTTGTGGTTCAAATACATTTTCATAAAATAAAACAAGCTATAAAAGGTTTAAAAAGCAAGTGCTGTGCCCACCACCTCAGAAACATACGTCTGATTTGCAATTCCACAGTTAACTCCACAACCTGTTTTCCATTTCTTCACAAAGCCCATTTTAACAGGACTATCATTTGTAAAAATATATTTTTCTGATATTATTCAAGGGAGTTGGTGAAACGAGACTGAGACGGATATTAGATAAAAGACAAATTAAAATTAAAATGCGTTTTATATCCTCCAATTCGCTTACAAAACAGTATAAATTAAGATTCCTACCATTTTTCTTTTGGGAGGAGAGGGCATTGGAGAAGAACCCATGAGCATAATTTGGGTGGCCGGACTTGGAATGCTGAAACTAAGATTATCCAACCTCATAATATGTACCATTTCTAAAAATCCCACTAATAAAGCAAGCTTATCACTCAACTAAAACATGTGACCTAGGAAAATATTTCTCAAGCTCAAATCAATTATCAGATACCTCCCTCTAAGTATTACAATCTAAAGGTCTTGGATTATTTTTCAGTACGAAATAAGCAGTAATCTTTGTTTCAGGTACAAGATTATAGGGTCAATATATCATAGTGGTTTTTTCTTCTTTTTTTATTTATTTATATATATTTTAAATCATGTTTATTCTATTATAGTAGTCTCAATTTTTCCACCTTTGCCTTCCTCCACCCATCCCACCCCACCCCCTGTTCCCACAGTCAATTCCCTCTCTGTTGTCCATGTCCACTGGTCATTCATACATGTTCTTTGTCTAGTCCCGTCCTCTTCTTTCCACTACTGTCTTCCCCTCTGGTCACTTTCAGTCTGTTCCATGTTTCCATGCCTGTGGTTTATTTTATTCATTAGTTTATTTTGTTGAACAGATTCCACTTATAGGTGAGATCGTATGGTATTTGTCTTTCACTGACTGGCTTATTTCACTTAGCATAATATTCTCCAGCTCCACCCATGTTGTCACAAAAGGTAGGAGTTCCTTCTTTCTTTTTTTTAAATGAAGATTGACTTTATTTATTTTCTAAATGTCAAAATCCATTGTAAAATGTTAAAAAAATTCATTATAAAGTCACAGTAATTAAAACATGACACCAGCACAGAAATAATCAAGTAGATCAATGAAATAAAATGAGCATTCTAGAAACAAATGTATATATCTAACAATGTAATATATGATTAAATTGCTATTTCAAATCAATGGGGAAAATAAGGCTTATTCAACAAATAAGGTGCATGAACCATTATTACTTGAAATAAATATAGAGCCCTATTCCACACATTATACAAACAATATTCAGGTGAGTTAAAAATCAATATGTAAAATCTACAGAGTTTTAGGAGAAAATACAAAATAATATATTTCTTACCGTGAAATAACATATTCAAACCCAGAAGCTATAAAGTAAGATATGACAATATGACTATACTAAATATTTAAGACTATACAGTAATAGACATATAAAAAAGTTGAAGGACAAGTAATAGAATACAAAAATATTTGCAACACATCTAAAGAAGGGTTAATAGTTTTTTTAAGGAAAAAAAAGTCTACATTTAATCAAAAAATAGATAAAGAATACCAAAGTCATTTAAAGCTTTTTAAAAATAATAGAAATAGGCAAGAAATACACAAAAACAGGTTTAGTTTCAACAAATAATAATTAAAATAACACATCACTGTCAGATTAATAAGTATTAAAAATATTGGTAATATCAAGTATTGGTGACTGTGAAAGGAACTGGGTAGTCATAGACTCTTTTTCTTCATCTTCTTAAAGCAGTCCCTTTAGCATATTTTGCAATATTGGTTTGTTGGAGGTGTATTCATTTAGACTTTTTTTCATCTGGGAAACTCCTTATTTCGCCTTTCATTTTGAGAGCCTTGTTGGGTAGAGCAGTCTTGGTTGCAGGCCTTTGCTTTTCATTATTTGGAATATATTTTGCCATTCCCTTCTGGCTTGTAGTGTTTTTATTGAGAAGTCAGCTGCTAGCTGTACTGGGGCTCCCTTATATGTTACTACCTCTTTCTCCCTTGCTGCCTTTAAGATTCTCTATTTATCTTTAATATTTGCCATTTTAATTATGATATGTCTTGGAGTGGACCTCTTTGGGTTCCTCTTAAATGTGACCCTCTGTGCTTCCCGGACTTGTGTGACTTTTTTTCTCCTCAAATTACTTAAGTTTTCCATCATTACTTTTTCAATCAGTTTCCCTATCCCTTCCTCCTCTTCCTTTCCTTCTGGTATCCCCATTATACGGATATTATTACATTTCAGGTTGTCCTGCATTCCTCTAAACACCTTGTCATTCTTTTTGAGTCTTTTTTCATTTTCTTGCTTTTTGTGGGAGCTTTTTTCTACTTTATCCTCCAGCTCGCTGATTCGTTCCTCTGCTTCATCTAGCATGCTTTTGATTCCTTCTACTGTGTTCTTCAATTCAGAAATTGTATTCTTCATTTTTTCTTGTCTCTTATTGATAGTGTCTCTGTTCCTTTTCATGCTGATATAGTTTGCCGTAAGTTCCTTGTAGTTTCCCCACAGTTTTTTGTAATTCTCTCTGAGCTCACTGAGCTTATTGAGCTTCCTTAGAACTGTTGTTTTGACCTCAATATCTGATAGTGTAGTTGCCTCTATTTCATTTATTTCTTTCTGGGGATTCCTCCTTTCCCTTCAACTGGGGGATATTTCTTTGTCTTCCCATTATTTGTGAGACTCTTCTCTTTTGCTTCTTTTTCTTAAATTGATCTGTCTTGATTTCCTGACTTTGTGGTGTGAACCTCTATGGTAGGAGATTGTTGTTTTTTCTTTCTGGATCTGCCTCTGATGATGTCAGATGTTGACCCTGTCTGAACTTAGGCAGTCTGTTTGAGAATCTACTGTCTATGGCTGTCATCCTTCATTTGTTAATCTAGTCACTCTGCACTCAACTGCCAGGCTTAGGCACCACAGGGAGGGGCAGAGTCCTCTTGGGGGCAAGGTTATTGGGTCCTCTCATGCTCGTGCCACTCAGGGGAGTTGTCTGCCTGAGCCAGATGGCTGCTGCCATATGGGGGAGGAGTCAGCACTGGGATCCTGCCAGCTACTCTCTCAGTTCTCTCCCCAAAGCCTCCTTCCCCAATCTCTCCTCAGATGTCTCTAGCCCATTCTGCTCCCACCTTTGCTGGAGCCCGCGGTAAGTGGCTGCAAATAAAAATTTATGCATTGGCCCTTTAAAAGGCTCTTTGCATCTCAGGCTGCTCATCTCTGGCAGAGAATAACCCTGCTGCTTTTCACAGCTGTTGTTATCTGTGTACTTTTTGGGCTCTGGTGCTGTAGGTTGGAGATCCCTGCTTATGGTTTAGACTCCGCTCTTCTCAGGGGGATCCAATGGGCTATTTCAATATCCTTCTGGTGCTGCTGCTTGTGGGTGCCCTGCCTGCCTTCTCAAGTCTCTACTGCACTCCTTACCAATTAGGTTGTGCTAAAGTTGATTCTTCTGTCTGTCTGAGGTTATAAGGCTCCTCTCTCACTATTGTTCAATTGTTTGTTGCAGGTGATTTCTCCACAATTTAGTTGTAATTCCAGATTGGTCTTGGGAGGTCAGTGTGACTCCCATTCACTCCTCCGCCATAATCCAAAGTAGTTTTTTCTCTACAACATTTTAACCAGCATGTCCTGATCTATTAGATGTTCAAAATAAAGACTGAACAACTAAAAGCTGAACATCTTCTCTCAAAAATCAATTTCCACATTTTTTAAAGAAGTGACTAAAAAATGTTTTGTTCACTTATACCAAACAATTATTTGTCAGTGTATGCTTGAAAGTCTCTCACAATCATGGACACAGAATAAAATGAATACTTTTATAGCCAGATGACTTCTTTTTAAGTCTCAGAGTTATAGCAACTGTTGAAGAGAGGCTGCACAATTTTTTTTTCTTTTTTCTTTTAAATATTTTATGTTTACGTTAGTACAGTTGTCCCACTTTTTCCCCCTTTCGTTGCACAAATTTAATGAAGGTAATACAAGCATAAGGACCCTGAACTTAACAAGAAAACTGCAGTGGTAAATATTCCAAGTGGAAAAATCAGCCTGCTAAAAATCAGTAACGAGGAATTCACATTCAATCCCACATCCCAATTCATCCCAGAAATATAGGGCATCGGGAGCTCCTGATCAACCTATTAAGGACCACTGTAAAACTTGTAAAATGTAGAATAAGCTGTATTTAGAAGTGTCCCACAGCTTACTCTGAAACCCCACAACAGACAAGGAAAAACCACCACAGGCCATAGACAATTTACTCCCAGGTATCTGTCTCCTGAATTTGATTTTACCTTGACCATATAACCAGCTCACAGACTTCTGAAGAAGAAAAGGACCTTATAGGTGAAGAAAGTGAGGCTTACAGAAGTGATGCAATTTACTCCACATCACAAAACTAACTGACCATAAAGCCAGAGCTTGTACCTGGGTCTCCTGAGTGAAGTCACTGTTCTCTCCACTACATCAAGCTGAACTTTGCAGCTTTACAACTTTTCAGCTCTTTCCTACTCTCTGCCAGTCTGTCTCAAGCCCTTGCTATTTCTCACACCCTCAATATGCATGCTCCCCTCCATTTCTCTCTCCTCTTCTCTATGGTTTCTCTCTTTATTCTCACTCTGTTTCACTCTCTCCTTTCATTCTCTCAAGTTTCTAGCTCCTCATCTTAAGCCCCAGTGATCCTTAAGGCATCTGCTCTCTGTTACCACCACTCAAAACTCCTAACCATCAATCCTCTGCCAGTGCACCTGACTCTGGGGCTCCTTTCCTCTTCAGCCAGTCAAGACATGCCTTCCTCTTACGTGCTCCTCAACTCTTCATTGAGGGGCAGGGTCTAGAGTACAACTGCTTGGATCCCTAAATGGTCATACAGACCTTTCAATTTTACCTCAAAAACCTTTTCCTTCTCAGGGAATGTAAAAAGAATTCAAGAACTATTTCTTGAACAAATGTGTGAGTAAATGAGTCAATAAACAGGTGTATTTCAGTATGTAAAGCCCAGCTCCTTCCATCTCAATTCCAGTGGGTCATCCTCCTTCCTCACTTAAGGTGATTTTTGTTCTTTCAAAGACTCTGTTATCATATCCCTGCAGTAATGCTTCCATTAGTGTGCTCGTCCCCCTTGCATTTGTTAGGGATATACATAAGTTCCAATTTGTCTTCATGATGTCCTAGACTCCATGCAAATCAAGGAGTGTAATCACTGATACCACCAGAAGAAGAATGAGGTAAGGCAAGGTATCACCTTTTTATTTCAAAATACTAGCCTGTATGAGCCTCAGCTCAAGACCTGTATACTTATTCAACTGATACCTACCAAGTATCTGTTGGATACTAAACAATTGTGCCTGATCCCAAGTCCACAAGCAAACAAGGAAAATCATGAATTTTAAGTTCAATCAAAACCATTTTTCCAATTGTCTTCTAAAAAATACTCACTTGCAGATGTCTTATATTGTCAACTGCAAGAACCATCACTTCATTTTCTTGAAATACAACATCTATTTCTTGCTTTAACACTATCGCAGAGTTCTCACATACTTTCTTTGTCTCCCAGAGCTGATTAAGAGATTTTAAAAAATAAAATGAGATTACTGTATCCTCCAAAATATTATAAAGACAAGTCCTCAGCAAGATACAAACCAAGCTTCACATTCAAAATGCCTATGATACTAAAAAATTTTTCAACTATTAGATTATAATTCAATAATAAGTATTTGTTAATTACATGCTATGGTAAGAAGCACTTAGTTTTAAAAGTAATGGGTGCTAAAGGCAAAATGCCGTAGTATGAATCCTAATTCTACCTGTAACTTTGGGCAGATTATGTAACCCAGTGCTATTCAAAGATAAGGACCTTCTGCTGCTTCTCAAACTGTTTGTTCCAGAATATAAATCAACTATATTATGAAACTTGCTGTTAACAGTACACTTAGTGATAAAGTTGATTTGTCTTTTTTTTTTTTTTTTAACAAGACTGCTTGATGAAAGAAGCAGTTCGTTGATTTACATTCTGGCTCAAACTTACTGAGACTGGCACTTTAGGTAGCACTGACTTAACCTTCCTGCATCACTGTTTCCTCAGCTGCAAAAAGGACTGTTGTGAGAATAAGCAAATATATGGGCAGTACTTTGCACAATGTCAGGCATACAATAAATACTAAATAAATTTTAGCTACAGTTTGTACAAACACTGTACTAGATGCTACAGGGACAAACTAGTGTCCCTGGCCTCAATAATTTTGTGATTTAAAATGTGTGAACATGTCAGAGGAGCAATAGAGCATTAGAGGTGGGGAATAAATAATCTTTACTTAAATCCAAGGCATAATTTGATAAATACCATCAGAAAGTGACATAAAGTCATATGGCATTAAAATGAGAGATATCCCTCCAAATAGAATACTAGGAAAGGCTTCACAGAAGCCTTGGTGGTTTGTAGAATCATTAGGATTTCAACAAGGAGAGGTATGGAGAAGTAGGTTATACCAAACATAAGAAACCACATAAGCAAAAGTACAAAGGCAGGGAACTATAAGATGTTTGGGAAAATGTGAGCAGGTTTGTGTAGGTTACCTGCAGAAATAAACTAGAAGACAGACTGCAGCAGAATGAGGCCATACTGTGGAGAAGTTTGATGGCAGACTTAGGAGTACATATTTACTTTGGTAGGCAAGGAAGCCACTATCTGTTTTTGAGCAAAAATGACATGAATATATGTACATGAGAAAAATATCTTGGAAACAGCATGTAGAAAATCAAGACAGAGAAACTTATGGCAGAAACTAATGCAAGAGAGGCACCTAAACTTGAAATGGAAAAGTATAAATAAATGATAGAAAATGAAAAGGTAGAATCTATTAGATTTGGCAAGTAACTGGATGTGGAATTCAAGGTAGAGGAAAGGGTCACAACTACTCTTGAGGAATCAAATGTAATATTTAAGTCAACAAAAATACAGTTTAATCATTGGACTTCTCCAGCAATGAGACTGTCACAGTCATATAATAGTACTTTTCAAGGATGAATATGAATCTAACAGTTTTCTATTTTACTATTCCCAATACTGCCCATTAATTTCTTAGTTTGTAGGAGGTTTAGTTTACCATCTGTAAAAGTTTAAAATGAAAATTTCAATATTTCTCACCCTGATTGTCTGGTCATCAGAAGATGTCAAAAAGGATGATCCATCAGGAGAAAACATCACACAACGAACCCAACTTAAATGTCCTCTGCAATCTGCTACTTTTAAACACGAGTCCACATTCCACAGCTACAGGATAAACACAGCATATAGGAAATCACATTCATAAGCATTTTCTATCTATATACATACACACACTAAATGGCTTGTGCAGAAGACTATTCATTATATCATTATTTTTAAGAGCAAAAAACTGGAAACAACCCAAATGACCATCAACAGGACCAATTAAATAAACTACATTTATCATACATATAATGGAATACTATGAAGCCATAAAAAGTAATGAGAAAAACACCTTGATAATGATAGTTGCTGGGCAATACTGTTTACAAAGAAAGCAGAGTATTTATATTTTGCAGAAGAATATATACACTATACTATATCATATATGTGTGTTTTTATGTATATACACACACGCTATGTAAATAAAAAATGAGAAACATGTAAATATGTAAATGGATACAAATGTGCAGATAAATAATACATATAAATACCTGATTATATATGCAAAAAGGAACATTGGAATGTTAAAAAAAAACCTATATGAGGGGAAAGAGTGAAGGGGAAGGGATAGGGATGAAAGCAAGACTTCTCTGAATATAGTTGTTATAAAGGTTTGACTTAGAGCCATGTAAACATTTTATGTGTATTTTAAAAATCAATAAAATATAGATGAACACAAGAAGCTTCCATATTCAGACTATTTTCCACTGTCATCTAATCCTCATTTCAACTGACTGCAAAGCCTTATAATAAATGAATATACTAATTGCACATGTACACATTTCTCCTGTTATTCATGCTTATTACAAATCGTCAGTGTCTGCCACCAGCCTGGCTGTATTTTGTCCGGAGTACTGCTGTAAATTACTCAAATATATTCCAGTCTAATGAAGTACCATATGTGCCTGAGTTCCTCTCATTACACTCTGAATTACAGACCTACTTTATGATTTCAGAACTAGCACGGACAAACAAGTGCTTCATCACATGCTCAGTGGTTTTCAATCAGTGAGTTCTATGGTTACAAATTAAGTACATGGAATTTTCTCTGCCTTATCTCTAGCGTCCAAAGTGGGCGTCCAGAGCTAAAGTATAGAGATGAAAGTGGTTCCTATACTGAAAAACCTCCCTTGAAATCCTTCCCTCTCTATCCTTCTGCCCCACCCCGACCCCCAATTATTTCCTTCTCACCCAGTCTTCAAAACCAAGTCCCTGTATTTCAAGAAGAAAGACAATGTTTCCTGGAGCTTTCTAAGAATAGGGTAAAGATTTTAAAAGTAACAAGAAAGGAAGAAAGAGGGGTTGCTCCTCCACACCTCCTAAAAATCCTGACATGAACCCAGAAAAGGGAAATTTCCAGCCACATCTAACTTGTGGATCTACCTACAGGTAAGGTGCAAGATGTCCTACCAGATCCGAATCTTTTAATCCAAGGCCTCAGCCAAAGAGAACACTGCCCACAGCACCGTATTTCTTCCCACTGTTTCAAACAGGACTAGATTTTGTTCACACTCACTGCCTCAGATTCCAGTGGAATGGTTTTTGGCAGGAAGTTCTTCAGCACTAGCTGCACTACTGTTCTTAAAATTAGGAAGAGCGTACAGAGCTCACCTGCTCACTCTCATTTTATCTGCCTCCATGTGAAGGTCTATAGCTCCGTAACTGTCCTCCCATCCCCATACACACCTTCACAGTAAGGGGCACGGCTGGCAAACTCACTAAAAATTGCTGAAATAAGCAGAGAACACTGAAGAAGCGCATGCAGTAGTCAAGCTTCCTTTGAGGAGAGCCTGTAAACCAAATGAATCTCCCTACTTTCCAGGTAAAGGTCCATCTCCCTTTTCTTAGGCTGTAAACACAAGGGGCTTCAAATTACCTGGTGGCAAGACCCACTCAAGCAATGAGTAGTAACAAAACCTGGAAAAACAAATCCATCTTTGGAGGAAAAATATCAGGGAATTCATTGCTTTTTGAAAAAAATTAATACAGCTATTCACTTGGCAGGGTTCTTCCTGGGCCAGTGAGGTACAGACTCTCAATAAAAACTCTATCAAGCAAGTGCTAAATTATAAACATAAACAGGTAATTTATAAGAGTCATTTTATTCATTAGTGCTTAGCAATGAATGAATGTCCTAGGTTAGCCAATTCCAAATTTAACTTCTATCTGTTCCTTCTCAGTGTTCTAAGAAATGTGAACTGGATTCATCTCTCATCATTTCCTGTAGAGAAGAGTCTATGCCTCTGCTGTTTAAGAGATGCCATGTTGCTGCTTAGGAAACCAGTGGTCATTCCACTGTTTCCTCAGACCATGGCACACACCAGCCTTCCAACAAATACCTGGTAAATGATACCTCATCCCCAGAATGATTTATCGTACTGTTAAAGCAAGTCTTTAACCACTGCTAACATAATGAGACTGTCTATCTAGTTAATAATCTAAAGCTATCACACATTATGCTACGGAAAAAAATACTACACAATTTCCCAAGCAAGCATCTTCAGCAGTTAACAACTTAGCAGCCCATTCTTCATTGTTCTTGTACCTCTGGAGACACAGACTTCACAGAGTAAATTCAACTACTCACCTCCACACAGTACTGGGACAAAGCCACCACTGCCAAGTGGTTATGGGGGGAGAAGTCACAGTACTGGATGGTGCTGTGATGGCCCATGTGGATTTCTCCCAACAGACCACTGGTATGAATGTCAAAAAGCTGTCAACAAAAGAGAGAGAGATAACTATGGAAGTAATATTTTTTTAAATAAGTATACCCAAACTGAATCTACATTTATTTCTAAAAGAATACCCTTCCATTTCAAATACGAAGTATAAATCCTGAAAAAATACTATAATTACTGATAATTGGCATATACTGACAGTCATAAGATGTAAATCAACATACATATACTTTTAAAATATCATTCATCTTGAAACATGTTTCCTATAAAGGAGAATTTATCACAGATAACTCCTCAAGTTGCCCTAGAGAGAAATAAAACCTCTGTGAATAAATGAATGAAGTAGCCAAATTAACATACAGAGCAGTTCTCCCTAATGCTCGTTTATTCAAAAGAGAAAATAGATACTCGAAAATAAAGATGATCAAACTAATATAGAGCAGAGGCTTGATAACATGAAATTAGCTCAATTATTTCTAGTTCTCTTCAGAGCTACCAAATTATTCTATTACAATCAATCATTTTCCCATTTTTTTTTGGACCAAAAAAGAGCTATTTTTGAGTAATTCAAGCTTCATTTCAATTTTTGAAAGATTTTAAAATGCTGAATATACTCTTCCAAAAAATTCTGCCAAATGACAGAAAACCTTTATACCAATATACAGTATAGGGATTTAAGACAAAGGCAGTCTTAACGAAGGAAAAAACAGGCTTCAGTGGGAGCCACGAAAATGTTCGGTGAGTGCACAACTCTGCAAGCATGCACAGATGGTCTGCAGCACAGCATCAGAGGTCAACAACACAGGACAGGAAATCATACTGAAAATGCTTTCCAGGACAGGTCGTTCTTAGAAATTAGTGGCTGAGAATGATAGAGGAAACTTGGCAAATGTGAAAGTGGCAGCTGTCCCAATTGTGGGGTAGCAAAAAGAAAATATCTAACAATAGGAGTACACTGACAACACAAAAGAGTTGGAAAGAAGTAAGAGGAGGAGAATGGAGAGATCAAAAGTAAGAAATTGGGACCTACATGTCGTTAAGGGTAATCTTAGCTTTATTTTCACAGGTAAAATAAGGAGCTGGTCTATATTTTTATAATAAGAAGGCATCTTATACAGTATAAAACTATTTTCCTTTCTCATTAGAACATATCTTTTAAAATGTTCAAATTCTCCTCAACACCATTAGTCATTAGGGAAATGCAAACCAATCTACAATGAAATACCACTTCACACCTAATAGGATGATTATAATATAATAAAGGAAAAAAACAAATGTTGACAAAAATGTGGAGTAACTAGAACTCTTGTACATTGCTAGTAGGGATATAAAATGGTACCGACACTGAGGAAAAATTTGGAGGTTCTTCAAAAAACCAAATACAGAACTGCCATATGACCCAGCAATGCTACCCCCAGGCATATCCATATAAGAATTGAAAGCAGAGGCTCAGACACTCCCATACCAACGTTCATTGCAGCATTACACACAATCGCCAAAAGGCGCAAACAACCCACACATCCACCAATAGATGAAAGGGTAAACAAAATGAGGTGTATCCATATAATGGAACACTGTGTGGCCATATAAATTCTGATACATGCTCCAATAGAGGTGAACCTTGAAAACAGCATACTAAATGAAATAAGCCAGACACAAAAGGTCCAGTATTTTATGATTCCACTTACATGAAATGTCTAGAATAGGTAAATTCATAGATTAGATTAGAGGTCACCAGGGAACCTGGGGAGAATGGAATGCGGAGTTTTTACTAACTAGTTACAGAGTTTCTGTTTGGGATGATAAAAACATTTTTGGAGTACTGGTGATAATTGTACAACACTGTGAATATAACTAACGCCACTAAATTGTACGTTTTAAAATGGTTAAAGTAGCTAACTTTATATCTATATATTTTACAACAAAAAGTAGTTTAAATCTTCATATCTTGTAAATGCAGTGGTTCTTTTTCTGTTCTTACAATCTTTCACAAATTTAAGACAAAAGGAGATACTTTTCTTTAGTTTCCTGATAAAGGGGTATAAATCTATAAGCAGCCAAAATCCTACGGTCCTAGCTATTAGATCAATAACAATAACATAAACAGTCTCTCAGTGAGTTTTTATATAACTATATTGTATATTTCAATTGTGTTCTTTAAAATATACTATCTGGGGTGAGAGAAAAGGGAGAAATTAGTAAAATGATACACATTTTCAGTTGTAAGATGAATAAGGTCTGATGATCTAATGTATAAATGCTGACTACAGTTAAGAACACTGCATTGCGTAACGGAAATTCACAAACAGTAGAACTTACAAGTTCTCCTCATAAAAAGGTAAATAATGTGAGGCAGCAGTTGTATTTACTCAATCGGGGGAATTGTCTCATAATGCATACATATATCAAAACATCACAATTTATACTTTAAATATCTTACAATTTTGTCAATTACACCTCAATAAAGCTAAATATAAAATAAAATTATAATATCTTTTATTCAAGTCTTTTAAAATTACTACTAGAATGGAATGTCACTGAGCCGTAAATCAGAAAAGCTGGCTCTCCAAATCATAATGTACCTTTGAACAAATTACTTGGCTGCTCTGAACCTCAGATGCCTCATTGTTATCACAGAGTTATTGCAATCTTTCTGTCCTTTGGATATTTATATCAAAAGAAATTATAACATGGGAGCACACTGAATACTACAAATGTAAGCTATTATTAGATTTGAAAAAAAAGAAGGCATTTCTTGTCATTTACTTTTTTTGCCCAGCTTCCTCCTTTACTTCATAGAAATCCCACAATCGTCTTTAGTCATTGAGTATTTCTCACAAAATCATAAAATTTTAGGGGTAATAAACACTTTGAAAATCATCTAAACCAATGTATTCAAAAACTGTAAAACAACAAAAATAACTGATGAAAAAAGTATTCCATGTTCTTAATAAATTTGAGAAGCACTGGATTAAACAATATAAATTGTTTCTGTATCGTAGGACTTCTTGGGGCCTTAAATATGTCAGTACACACTGAGTACCTCTAATGGAGAAAGCCAATATCTGACACCTCCCAAACCTGCGTGACCATGAGAACCACTTCTCATAAGGCCTTCTGACACTCCCCACAACACAGATCTGAAAACTATGAAAGATGAGGGAGCCTATTTATGATAAAGAATCATATTTATACTTTATATCAGTAAACAATGTAAAATGCAAAAAATCAAGGTTTTAATTTTGTTTAAATTAGACTAAAAATTTCGCTTTTTAAAATACTGGTACTTACAAAGATTTTATTTTTGGCTGCCACCATTATCCTAGACCCATCAGAAGACCATGAACAACATTTCACTATCACTTCCATGTCCTCTTGAGGCTCCTCTGAAGTTAGGAAGAACAGCTTCACATTAATGGTTTTCCTCTCATTTGCTGATTTCACATCCCAAAGCTTTAAATTACAAAAATCGGAAAAAAAAAAAAAAGGATTTAAGTTTGCTTTAATCTCAAATCTCTAGAATTTCACCTGGATCAAATATCCCACAAATTATTCACTTTACCTAATAGGTTATTTTTACTTATGCATGACATTTTTATAGAACTTATAAATCAACAATTCGTTTTTCATTCAGTTTATTCCTAAAAAGAAAACAATCAGAAGCACTGACTGCAATGCAGAATGCAGAACTAATAAAGTGCTGAAAGAGCCTTGCATGGTGTGGAGGAGGCTAGGTGATGAGCAGGGAAGAAAGGTAAGGTGGAGCCTCACAACTTGCCACTGCTGCCCTCTGCTGTGCCAGGCAAGAACTGTGCTTCACATCTATGGTCTGCACAGCATGGACACCACACAGGACTCAGTAAAGCTGAATTATAACCTAGTAGGGCACCCAGAGACATGAGGAGTCCCTGAAAACAAAAAATGAAGAACATGCTGAAAGGAAGCAAGAGACGGTGTGTGCTTGACAGGGCCAGACGGGGCTCCAAAACAACTGGATCCTGAGCAATGGGATACAAAAGCCTAAACCTACTCATTTTGCAGAGCCACTGAGCAGCACAAAGGACCAAGGTCTTCGAGAAGACCCATCTTTACTCCCCTGGGCTTCGAGCAGCGCCCCAGCTTCACGGGGGGTGGGGGGGGCGGGGGGAGTGGCTGCCATGCCCCGACCAAGGGTTGGCCAAAAATGAGGCCAAAGAAAAAGCTGCTTCTCAGGCTTTAACTCAGCTTCCAATGCACAACTCCAAGGTAAAATCTGATTTTTCTAGCCAGGCACATTTTGAAATCTTTCTTGAGTTTAGAGAATTACTATATACACTAAGAAATATAGCCAAAAGCAAAACTTTCCCCCCTGCAACAACTGTAGGTAAATTGGATGAAGCAAAAGAGACATCAGGTACTTAAACAGGTTTTCTTGACACTAAAGAGGAAAAAAAAAATCTCAATATAAACGTCAGAAACTTCAGTCCCATCAGCCAGAATATATGAGAAATCACACTCTGCTCGCCTCTTAATATGAACAACAAAGTAACTATTGTCTGGATTTAAGAAAGAAAAAGAAAACTAACACAACCCAATTTTATTACATCTAAACTGCATCTTCTGCATCTGGACCTGATTCTAGCTCTTCTCCAAGGAGTGATGCAATTCTACATATCGAGGGACCAAGTAACTGCCAGTGTTTCATTTTGAGCAATTCACAGCACTGTATTTAGGGATGCTCATGCACCCTGGCCCTTGTATGGTTTAAATGGCAATTTTTAAATAAAGCTTGCTCTTTGAAACAATTTATCATCAGGGCCTGAAAAATACATTATTATCGACATGAGAGTCTAACAAAATGCTTAGATTATAGAGCTATTTGAGGCAGGAAATAATTTTACAGTTCTTCATCTTCTCAGAAAGTAAAAGCTTTAGGAGATCTTGACCTTGAAATGCTGTTATCCAACATCATTTTGCAGGACCACTGCTTACTATGCATCACTGTACCAGTGCAAACCAGCCAACAACACTGGCTTAACAGCACTTTGGGGAAGCTGCCGCAACAAGGCAGTTCTCACCAAGAGTGCGGTAATGTCTGTCCCCTGCTGTGAGTGCTCTGTGCTCTACAATCCCATTTTGATACTCACACATAAAATCAAAATGCTGTCCCTGGAAACTTGAAATTTTTTTTTTCCCTTGAGTTGGAGAAGTCTAAATTTGAGTTGAATGGACACAGCAGAAGTTTATCGTCTTAAGTACATTATAACCACTGTGTCAGTTACTTTGAAATTATATCAATAAATCAGATACAGAGTTTACATGCTAGTAAGGAGGTGAGAAAAGCACACAGATGGCTTTAACACCAGCTACGTACGAAGTGCCCTTTGAGAGGTAAAGAGACAGCACAGTGGGAATGCTACACCCAAGCTGTGAACACTTTTGCAGAAGTGGCCAGCTCACTCTCCTCCCTGAAGATTCTCCTAATTCACGCCACCTTACAATCAACAGAATTTCAACACAAAAAGGAGGAAAACTCTAGGACCTGGAGTCTAGTCTAAGGGGTCAGATAAGCTAAAGTACAAAATGGGAAAGCAAAGGCAATGAGAAGAAAGAAAAAGTACAGTGTGGGTGCAGCATCAGGGGCCTGAACACTTCTTCCCCAACAGAGCCATCTTCTGCTCTCAGAGCACCTACTACAGATTTTTACCATTTTCATGATTTGTCTATTCACTTACCTTCCTTCCCAGCTGGGTACTGAACAACTTCAGACCAGGAATTATATGTTTTTTTAAGTGTTTAAAACCCAAATACCTAGTACATAGTAGGTATTCAATAAGGGATCAATAAATACATTTAAAGTAAAAAGACAGATTATTCCCATGTTTCAAGCACAGGTGAGTAGAGACAATAGCATTACTGAAAGAAAGAGGGTCCAGGTTAAAGCCGCAGACAGAATACACATTCACCTCCACACCCGCCCAAAACCCATGTGAAATGATCGTAAAGAGAATTTTTCTCTCTAGACGGTTAAGTCACAAGGTGAAGGAGAAAGAAAGAAGAACTACCAGCAATAAAACTATAAAGACTAACAAGCAGAAAGTCGAGAGATAAGGAGACTCCTAAAAATTGAATCCCGAGCCCACAGTATAGAAAGCCAACGAAGGGACTCAATTCACATCATGGAATTCCTAAAATGCTCAGGAAGTATCTTCTGGAAGAGGTGGCACTAAATCAGGAGAAATCGTTGGAAGTCCCTTGAAACACCCTCTGCTACTATGCAATCCAGATTGCTGTGTGCCCTTACTCTGGCTGAAGAATAGAGGGTTACTCCATTCCCAACACAACTGACAGCAGGGTCAGCACTCCGAGAACAGGGAAACTGGAGAGAGCCTATATTCCAAATGCTGTGAGCTCTGCCTAGGCATCTTCACAACCAGAATTACACACTCCAGGTAGGAGACTGAAGGTTTTTCTGTGACTACCCCACCAGATCAACACAAAAAAATCTAGAGTCTGACATGAGGAGTTCACCATGGAAAACAGCCAGATAACCCTACAGGGAAATCCATGATAAAGTCCACAATTTCCTATCAGTTTTTTGGTGCTGTACTCAGAAATAAAGCAGATGTCCAAAGATCAGACAAGTAAGATATATCTCTAAAATGGAGAGACAGAAATCAAAACTAACAAACAGAAAGGACAACTATACAGAAATATGAAAACTTCAAAAAAAACTATTACTAACACCCACAAAAGATAAAAGATATTGCATGCATGAAACAAGCATAGGATAATATTAAAAAGAGAATAGAATATAAAAATATTAAAAAGGTAACTGGTCATAAGAATGGGTTCTTAAAAAATATGATAGTAAAAATTAAAAACTCAATAGAAGGATAGGAAAATAAGGCTAAGGAAATCTTCCAGAAAGTAGGACAAATGTAGAGAGAAGAGAGAAAAAAATAAGAAAACATCCAAAACAAACAGGCATTCCAGAAAGAGAAAGTAGAAAAAGAATAAATCAAATAGTTTAGAGGAACTCGCCAAAGCTGGAGTTTCCAAATTGAAAGAAGCCACCAAGTACCAAGCAAAATAAGTGGAGACAAACCCAAACCAAGGTACATTATCATAACATTTTAAAAAAGAAAAAATACTAGAGACAAAGATCTTAAAAATTTCAAGAAAGGAAAATAAACTACATATCAACCAGAATGGCTTCAAATGTTACCAAGAACAACCTCAGAAGCAAGAATACAAAGGAGCAATGTCCCCAAAATTCTAAGGAAAAATTATTTCCACCCTAGAATTCTGTATGCAATCAAAAATAGCAATGACGTATGAGGCTAGAAAAAGACACTTTTAGGCAGGCAAGGTCTTAAAAACTGACCTTCCAATAGATTCTTTCTTAGGAAGATAGAAAAGTTTTCCACCAAGATGAGAGAATAAACCAAGAAAGAAGACAGAAAATCCAGGAAATAAAAGGGTCTCAGCTAAAGAGAAAAACAGAAGGAATTCCTGGGATAGTAAAGGGAGATGCCAGGAGGACAGCTGGACACTGAGTACAGCGTCTCCAACCCGAATGGAGCAAGACAAAACCTTCCTAGAAAGTTATTTCTAAGAAAATTTTTCAAATACCTGATAAGTTTGAATGATACAAGAGGTAATTTAGACAAGGGATAGTTTGAAGACAAACTAGGGATAAGCACATTTTAAAAAATAAGCAAATGAAAAAATAAAACCACAATGTTAAAGGTACTACACATTTACTCACAAAGAAAACAAAAAGTTGTATGAGAAGGAAAAATATTCATCATACACTGCATGGCTCAACTGTGATCAGTCCGGATGACATAAATCTCATATATTGATCTAATCAAATCCCGAAATATATAGAAGCCACAAAAAGCAGGTCAGGTTTATGGGGAAAAAAACCAATTAGTTCAGTTTGGAACACAGTAAGTGTGGAGCAGGAGCTTTATTTAGGAGACAACAAGTAGCAGGCGCTTGGGGATCAGGACACAGCACACAAGAGAAACAAGGGCTGGAGACGGCACATCCGGAAGTCACTCACAGAAGACATGAGAGCTGAAGCCGTGAGACTGGGTGAGCTGAGATGCAAGACTGGCGCGCGCGGTGGCAGTCAAAGTCAGATGTTAGAGGAGCAGCTCTATGTCAATGGGCAGGAAAACAAGGAACAGAAGGGCTCAGAGAGATAGAAGGGAAAGAAGAAACACTGATGTCAAATGGCAGTTTCAAAAAGAAGATACCGGTCATCAATGGGGAAGATGAACACTGGTAATACAACAAAAAAAATAAAGATTGGATAAAGAAAAATATCAGATTTTACACAAATCCGAAGAACATGAGACTTTAAAACAAACGGAAAAAAAGGAGACTAAAAACAAAACTGGATTTTACTCTTCAAGGGAATACAGGGAAGACAGGACCAGGCTAAAAGAGGGTTAAGTAACCCTGGCCAGTGCAGCCCAGTTGGTTGGAGTCGTTCAGTAAACCAAAAAGTCATGGGTTCAATTCCTAGTCAGGGCACGTGCCTAGGTTGAGGGTTCAGTCTCCCCCTTCCCACCCTCCATCAGGGCACATACAAGAGGCAACAGATTGATGTTTCTCTCTCACAGCGATGTTTCTCTCCCTCTCTCCCTCCCTTCCCTTCTTTCAAAAAAAAAATAATAATTTTTTTATTATTTTTTTAAATTAATTAAATTTAAAAAATGACTTTTTTTTTTAAATTTAAGGAGAAAGTATTTAGGGTTTGTTTTTTTCCCCTCAGAACTACAATCACAGGGGGCTTAAATAAGTATTTTTCCCTAGCTCTGGGTTTTCCCCCAATATGACTTGTCAAAAACAGGTCAATAATGACATAAAAGGCAGGATAATGATAAATAAGAGCAGGACCTTTATAAATTTGACCCCCAGAGATCTCAAAAGATTTTATGAAGTCATAAAATGAAATATATGCTTAAAATTAAGAATTCAAAATTATGAACTTTAAAGCATAAGGTAGTAAACCATTAATAAACAATCATTATAATAAGCATTTATAATTATATTAAATATGTCCCTGGAAGTTGAAGCTCTTTCTGCAGAAATGTGAAAAACAGAAGCCTAATTCTATAACCCAATCCTAAGGCCATAAAATTACAACCCATTTTAATAATTAACAAAAGCATACCTTTAATGTTCCATCAGCTGAGCAACTAGCCAAAAGCTTATCGTCTGGTGAAAATCTGCAGTGATTAGCTGAATTGTTATGGCCTAACAAGGTATTTCGACAAGATTCTTGATTCAAATCCCAGAGCTATTTGAGAAAGATAAAAAGATAACTAAAAAACTAGTACTGAATGGGGAAAAGTTAAAAATAATGTAAAGTTCTTCCTTCCCTCTCATTTAAACTTTTTCAGTTACAGGCAGATGTTCAATTCACAGTTACATAAAGGTGTTAAACACAAAGGTGAACTTGTGATTAACAAGTAATATGGGGCAGCTCTCAAATCAGCACCTAAATCTACTATAGGGTCTCAAAGGCTCACCTAGGCTTTTAGTCTGAGCATTAAATAACTAAACAATTACTCCTATTTCAAAAAAGTAGTTTGGAGTCATTATTCTACTTTATTCAGCTCTGTAATAAGTGATATGCAAAATAAATCACCCCCAACTTTTTTAGATGCTAGATTATCCAACTCAAAAAGTGGTCATTTTTAAAATATTCCAATGCAAAGTTTGAGTGTGGTAACTAAGCTAAAATCTATTCCAGAGGACAAGTCACTCAATTTCTCTAACAAATCAATGGCATTTAAAAAAAAAAAAAAAAGGCAGAGGGAAAGGGGAACTTTTACAGAATAAACAAGACTTCAGAGGTATAATAACCATATGCCAACTGAAGTTTAGATTCTGACTCCAAAAAACCCATGGTAGAAAGATACATTTTGGGGAAAAGTGAACATGGACCAGGTATACTACAAAACTGTTTACTGTGATAGGTATGTCTATGGCATCAGAGATGTATGCTGAAGTATTTTGGGTGAAATGAGATGATATCTAGAATTTGCTTTGAAATGTTTTAGGGCAAGAAATAGGGGTTGGTGGGGAATAAAAATAAGATTGGCAAAATGTTGATAATTATTGGAGCTAGACAACAGATAGCAGAGATGTTCATTACTGTCTTCTCTCCTTTTGGGTATGTTTGAAAAATGTTTAAAAATGTACATAAAAGGGGCAATAGTCATCTCTGGTGATTTATACTAACTAGACTAAACACAGGTGAATAAATCATTTATCCCCCACAATTAATCTTGGTAAAAATCCTTTGGAAATCATCAGTGAGATAAGTCCTGTTCTTCAGGGCCTCTCCATCCTTGGCTCCTTTACCCCAGTACCAGGAAAACCCAGTTCCCCAGAGAAGGCAAGTTACACGGGGGCAGCTTTAGATTTACATACTTTCATTGAAATCTGTTCAAGAATCACAAGAAGTGAGTTCTAAGAGCCTTCATAGTAATGTGGGCGTGGTATGACAGGTCTTACAGTAAAACTCATCCAATTAAAACTGCTGACTAACCAATAACCTCTTCCCCCATCTTAGAGATTTTTGTTTATATTTAAGAGGAGGAGATATAAACTCCCTCACCCTACAAAATGTTAAAAGTAACATCAAAATTAGTCATATATACTACAGAAGTCTTAATCATTTTAGAAGTGGTTTCATTCAAATAAGGTAAAGTTTTTCTGAAATAGTACAAGAATCTTATTTTTAAAGGTGGGTTTACTCGATAGGGTAAGCTCTGCTGAGTAAAAGCGAGCTATTATTGTGAGATAATTTTATATTACTGCATTATTTTGATCCAATCTGGTGTTTTCAAACTGAGTTCTGTAGGGCCCCAGGGATTCCAGAAAAATGTCTGAAAAGGAACTATGGGGGCTGGGGGGTGGAGGGAGGTAAGGGAACAAGAGAGACTATAAATGCAGGCCCATACCCCAACTCAACAAGAAAAATGGGCTTTATCTCTTTTACATTGAGCTTCTATGGAAGTTTTCTTTGTAGAAAAAAGAAAAAGAAAAAAAGGTTCACCTTTCTGAAAAGGGAAGGAGGACAATTTTCAACAAATGTTTCCATATTTTCTTAAATAAAAAAAATACTTATTCAAATGTCAAAACAGAGTCTATAAGATTTTCCAAGTTGAAATGTTTTACCCAGTCCACCCAAAAGTACAATGTCCCATTAAAAAAATGGTGTGACATTTACAAAGGAAGGGCACAGAATCCAAACCAAAAAAGAATCCAAAAGAAGTTAGCAGGTAATTTCTGTGATCCAAAAAAGTTTAATCTGGCTATTTTTAATATGCCACTTAAGTGGGGAAAAAAGGTAATCTTTTATACTTTGTAATTATAAAACATTATCAAACCAGTGAAATGAATATCTATTTTTTGTTTGTTTGTTTTTTTACATTTTTTTCCCTACCGGCACCTTTTTCCCTCCTTCTTCAGATAATAAAACCTCTCTCTTTTGAATCAAACCCCATTCATAATTCAAGTGAAGCTGACCTCCCCTCATCTGTCCAATTTCTACATGGCTAAACTTGCGACCCTTTGAATTCCATCCTACTGACCAGTAGGGTTATTTAGCAATGAGTAGATAAACCCAAACCAGGTCAACTAGAGTTTTCTCTAAAATTAAATCTACGGGATCTGGGGAAGAGCAAGTTTCTCTTCCTCTGTGAGTATGAGCTGTGAGACCTATATAAGCCGAGCTGAGAAAAGCCACATTTCCTGTCCCACAGAGAGAACACGCCTGAACCAACAAAGAGGGAAGAAGCAGGGCCCATAACTGGAGATAGAGCTCAATCCTGCGGACGCAGTTTAAGCATTTGGAATCAGCTCTGCCCTAAGCCATGCTCCCTCTAGTTTTTCCAGTTACATGAGCCAGTAATATCTTCTTTGTTGTTGTTGTTGCTTAAGCTAATATGACAGTTTGTATTATGCAACCAGAAGATCCTTGATTAATACAATGTATGAGAAAATCAAAGGCAATGTTCTGACATGCCTACCAATTTACGCAATTCCCTTCATCCACACTTACTTTGAGGATGCCGTCACTTGACCCAGTGGCTAAAAGAAGGGGATGACTGTTGTGGGTGAAGTGGCAACAATTGACTTGCTCTGAGTGCTCATCATAGCTGTGCACTAGTTGCCCAGTCATAGAATTCCAAATCTAAAGAGAATAGAAAAAACAAAATTTACAACTACCCCTTATTTTCAAATAAAACAAAGAAAATGCTTTGAGGATCCCATCCATCCTCTCTGCCAAATTTTCCCAGTTGGACATGATGCTAATGAATACCTTCAGTTTCCCTGAAATATGTCAATATTTTGCCAAAATGTTTTTTTGAAAAGCTTACTTGCAAGTAAGTCTTCCTATAGCATAACTGGAATTTCCTGAAAATGTTACATTCTTCTAGGGCAAGATTTCAGATGTTCATATGAATGGAAGCAGGCAGAGAAATGCTATATGGGGAAGGAATAATGAATTTCAGCTGGGAAGGATGAAATCTAAGACCCGACTCTACCAATTTTAACTTGTTTGTCCTTGGTCAAGCCCCTAATTTACCTGCACCTCAGTTCCCTCCTCTGTAAAATGGGGACACTTGTACCTGTCCTACATATCATGGTATCAAATGAGATAAAGGACGTGCTAAGCATTCTGGTGACTTCAAGGTACCAATTAAATAAGTAAAAGTGGGCGTCTCAATGAAAAAAAATAAAGGTTTTAGATTTTGAGAGAAACCTAGCTTTCAAGCCTTGCTCCATTAGCTATTAGTTAATATGACTTTGGGCAAGTGACTTCATCTCTGAGCCTGTTTCTTCATCTGAAAAATGAGATTAATACTTACTTTGCAAATTACAGTGTAAAATCAATAATGTAAATATGAGGAAGTGTACAGTATAAAGCCTCCTGCAGTATTGAGTTCACAATAAAAAGTAATCACCATTCTAATGACTATGTAAGACAACTAACTAAGCAGTCTATTCCATCTAACGACAAACAAAAGAAATAAATTACCTAATAAATCTTCACAGGGCTCTGGACTTCTCAGAGGTTCTAATATCCCTCCCATAGCATTTTCTTTTTATCTCATCAAAGCACTCCCCAGAGGTCCAGAGAGTTTCCTTTATTTTGAAGGTCTTTTAATTTCTGCCTCTTGCTTTAAATTTTGAGTTCTTAGAAAACAAAAACTTAGTATTATTTCCTTTTAATCCATATAACTTTGACTTTGGAACTGCTCAGAGTGGCCAGGTTCATGCCTCACTCAGAATAGAGGCTATAGAGTGCATTAACTAGTTGGTTGTAAAATCACCTAAAGGGAACCAGTATACCAAGAAGTAGATTTTTCCAAGATTTCAATTTAGTCTGGACACTCCAGAACCTTCTTCAGATGGGTACAAACTGCAGGAAAACTTCCAAGCCAACTCTCTTATTCCCAGGCCCACTAAGGCCCACCCCACCCAGCCAGATTTAACACCCCACAACCCCTTTGAAAAAAGCCTGAAATGAAATCTCCCCTCCATTTATCATATAAAACACTCCCCTGGACTTCAGTTCCTCTTAAATTCTGCACAAATGCTCTGGCTAAAAGCCAAATTTAGGGACAAGAGACAAGAAAAAAAATTAACAAAGATAAAAATTACCCTATATTGCTCTGACTGGTGTGGCTCAGTAGATTGAGTGCCGGCCCGCAAACCAAAGGGTCACCAGTCCAATTCCCAATCAGGGCACAGGCCTGAGTTGCAGGCCAGGTCCCCCAGTAGGGGGTGCGCAAGAGGCAACCACACATTGATGTGTCTCTTCCTCTTTCTCTCTCCCTCCCCCTGTCCAAAAATAAATAAATAAAACCTCTTTTTTAAAAAGTACCCTACATTTTTTTCTCCATTTGCTTTTTAGACTAGTAACCTAATTAATTATTAATTTGTCCATTCATCTGGTTTTACACTGAATATAAGCCAGTTCATAAAGGTCAAAAATTGGGTTGCATTTCACAAATTATGTATTTTACAACAGAGTCCAATCTCAGATAATAATTTTGTGCAGTAACACTTCCAATCACAGTGCACTCAAAGATTTCAACTGATACTTAACCCACAAACCAGTCAACAAAAGCCAGGCAAATTTATTAATTTGTGATTTTTTTTCCTAGCTGCCTGATAAATATCTCAGACTGATCAACCTAGGTATTTTTGCTGGGGCTTAAATACAAAGGGTTTTCAGATAGTGTTAATTTACAATGGAAAAAACATTGATTTGCCAAGGTTAGTAAATCAAAAGGCCAGCACCCTTTAACCCTGCTTACCCTAGTCCCCCTATTGTGGAAAAAGAAAATGAATTCTGTGGTGATTACAACTCAAGAGGAAAATGTTTTCCTACCTTCACTTTTTTATCCCCTGAGCAGGTTGCTATAAATTTGTCATCTGCAGAGAATGCACAGCAAAGCACTTCATCTTCATGAGCCTTGATTTCTAGAAGTTTCTCTCCTGTTTCAGCTTTGAACACCTACACAAAAAATAAAATCTTTTTACTATACACCACTTAACCATGAACCATTATTCAATAAAAATCTTTCCTTCAAAGATCTCAACTACTGTTATTTTGCAACAGAAGTGAACCTTGGCAAAATTACTCCAAAAATCTGAATTTCTGTTGGAATTGATATGCTTTAACATATATAGAGAACTATCCTTTGTTAAATTTTGTAATATTAATAAAAAGAACTAACAGAATATAGCTTCAGTTCCTGAGAATAGTTTGGCAAATTCCCAACAAACAGAAAATATTTCATGCAATATAATTTCTTTCTGGGGCTCAAAGGGCCAAAATTAATAAAATGAATAATAAAGCACAAATATAGAAATACAGGTTACAGTCATAATCTCACAAAGACTAAAGCTGTCCTAATTATAAAAGTTTTAACTAATTTGATCCTGATTCCTTCAAAATCAAGTTAGAGCACAAGTTTAAAGAAAAGCACTCATTCTTATTTCCTGAAAAGAAACAAGAACTTACAGGAAATTCCTTCAAGCATCTTAGCCCAATTCCATTTACTGTCAGAAATCTATGGCTGAACTGATAATAAAATAGGTATTTTATTTAATTACTGTTTTTTAGTCAGAACCCTGTTCACTGAGCTAGGAAGTCCTATGTCTTTCAACAATTATCATTTCCTCATTACCTTTAGCTGTCGCATGGGCGACGTTAACTGACTAGAAGGGTAAAAGGCACTTCTATGTCACTTGGCTAGTTTAGAATTATGAAAACACACAACCATATCTTTAAAATCTCTAGAGAAGGACTTCATAAATGTTCAAGAGATTTGGATTTCTCTATTTCTAATGTACATTTTACTTGAATTTTAGGATTTAAATATATTCTAATATGCACAATATTGGGTACATGCCCTTTTCAATTTTTCTCAAAAGATATATTTTACCTGTAAGGTTTTATCAGCTCCACAAGATGCTATTCTGTGACCATCCGCAGAAAAGCAAGCATGGTAAACAGTATCTGTATGGGGGCGGACAACTAAGCGGGAGAGATTCTTGATGGTTTTTTTGTTTCTAAATACAAGGAAAAAATGAGCAGAAACCCAATAAATGAAAGTAAAAGCAATTATTTCCTATCAGTAATAAACTATCTTTTAACTTAGTTATATTCCCAAAAATAAAAAAATTATTAAAATTAAATTACCATTGCATAAATGGTAGCATAGATCACCTGGAGAAAAAAAGCATAATATAACAGAATTGGCATTTAAAGAAAAGTGCTACCCTGTATCAAGCAACCTGTCATGTGTTATAAATGTCACTGAGTTGGAAGAAATCTAAGTAATCAAATACATTTTACTTTGTGTTTTTCCTTTGATACTTTAATATTACATGCAGAAAAAAACATTATGTAAGGATACCCTCAAAAAGCTCCCTATTTTTTAAAAAGGAAGAAGATAGCAAAATAAAGGTCATTTCCTAACTAAAGTATGACACTACACCCACCATTATGATGATATATTTACAACTGCTCTTCTTTAACTACAATTATTCAGATAGAGAAAAAACTAAAACAATGTTAATTTTCTGTGTATCTTAATCTACTGAATATTAGCAGTCCCACAGGTATAAATATTATATTGTTTTTCATGGGCTAAAGGGTAAAGGAACATAAAATATACTTAAAATGAGGAAAGTATTGAACAGTGTCAGAATTTCACTTTGAGTACAAGTAAATGTATTAGATGGTATCATGCTTAATTTAAGAGTCAAGGGTTAGGAGTCAGATAAACCTATAAAGCAACCTCACTTCTCCTACTTATTAGGTATGTAAACTTAAGCAAATGACTTAACCTAATAAGTTTTCTTTCCTTATATGTAAAATAGGATTTATAATATCTGCTTTAAACAGTGCCAGGCACATAAAGATGTCAATGTTGTTATTTTAAAAAAATTAACCACCCATAAGACAGGACAAAAGAAAAAGGAAACGCAATGGTAAATCAGACTTGGCCCTTGCCTGAAAAGTATTCCACTTTACTAGAGGTGATAAAATAAACAACTATAACATAAGAACTAGAGTGATGAAAACCTGAAAGAAAAACAAGTTTCTAGCAAAGGTGGGAGAATTAGATTAAGAAACTACTCTTTCTTTCCCCTTGATCTATCTACTCAATTCCCTAAACAAAACTCTGAAAGTAACCTATCAATGATGGACACATAGTAGATGCCCAAAATGTATTAAATAATAAATGAATTCATGAAAATATAATTTCTTTCAAAGTTGAAACTCAGTTAAGCTAATACCAATCTAAAACTTTTTTTTAAAAAAAGGCTTTCCAGTTCTGAAAAATAAAGCATTCTTTGAACAGGATTTGGTCAAACCCAGTTAAAAAAATACAGCTACAAATGACTAACTATTCTATGAAAGACCATCTTGGGTTAAAATGCAGTTGTGAAAAAACAGAAAAAAATGAACAGCATAAAAAAGTAAAAATAATGAGCAATATTTTATAAAAGAACTAAAACTATGCCTATTTGATTATCAAACCAAGTATTAAAATACTACTTCAGCCACTAATTAAATATGAATTCAATCTTCCACAAATTTCTAGAGAATACCAACTATATGGACCAGGCAATATGCAAAATGCTATTCTTACTAACAACAATCAGTATTTATTGAGCAAATCCTATGACCTCAGTACTGTTCTAAACACACTATGTATGTGCGCATGTTTGTATACACACTCACTCTCATTTAATCCTCACAACAATGTGATGAAATAGTACTACTAGGTGAGGGAAGTTGAATAACTTTCCCTAGTTATACACAACTAATAAATATCAGGACGGGGATTTAAGCCCAGCCAGCCTGTTATTTTAACCTCCAAACAACACTATACTTCAGAACACATGGACTACTATGGGACACAAGCAAGTAAACAGACAATCACCATAAAAGGAGACAATGCTATCATATGAAGTAAACAAATAGATCTAACCTAGCCTCAATGAGTTAGGGGGCTGCTTCCAGGGAGAGTAAAACCTCTTCCCAAGAAAGTGTTAGTGGTTAACTCTGGGAAGTGCAAAGGTGGGGTAAGCTGAGGAGTCTCTGACTTTTCATTTTACATTGCTCTAATATTGTCTGATTTTTTAAAAATCAGGAACATGGATCACTTTAAAATAAAAATAAAATAAACAAAAAAAGTAAATTTTAATTTTAAATAAGTTTTTTAAGGAACTCTTTCCTTGCTCTGACCAGTATGGCTCGGTTTGGTTGGGTTTCATCCCACAAAGTGAATGGTCCCCAGTTTGATTCTCAGTCGGGACACACGCTCGGGCTGTACTTGGTTTGTACGTTCGGTCCTGGTTGAGGCCCGTACGAGAGGCAACTAATCGATGTCTCTCTCTCACATCGATGTTTCTCTCCCTCTCTCTCCCTTTCCCTCTATCTAAAAGTAAATAAATAAAATCTTAAAAAAAAAAAAAAAAAAAAGAGTAGCATGGGGTGGAGGGGGGAGGGATGAAAAAAAGAAAAAAAAAAAAAAAAGAATAGCATGGCATATAGAAGGAACATGGAAAATAAAGCTACACTGACCCAGTGTTTAACTCTCTTTCAGTAAGCCACATGAGCTTAATCAAATTTCAACCTCTCTGTGCCTCAATTTGTAAAATAGGGCACATGCGGCAATTTGTGCCTCATGTGTAAAATAGGGGAAATAATATTTACCTTATAAGGTTGTTTTGAAGATAAAATGAGTAACGTGTCAGCCTATTGTACATAACAGGCATTAAAAAGATAATAGCTTAGCTTTTCTTTTATTAATTGGTAAGATTAAGGTTAAAGCAAAGTTGAATGGCCTCTTTTAGGAGTTAGAGGAATCAGAATTCAGGGGAATTTTAATGAGGGCCATGTGCAAGACAAAGTGCTACTTGCTTTATATCCAATATCTCATTTAATCTTCACAAAAACAGTACTTACCTCAAAGGACTGTTATCTCTATTTTATGTATGAGAAAGGAGAGGAAACTAACTTGTTCAAAATCACAAAACTGTTAGGTTTTAGAACTGAGTCTCAAATGCAGGTTTGTGGCTTCAATGCCTGCACTCTTCACTACTTACTGTATTACAGTAAGTAAAGCATTTGGTGTCAGTATTTAGCATGATCAGTTAAAATGCCATATAGGCAATCACCTATTTTCTATGGGCTCTTGGAACATGTATATTTCTCCCACGCTTACTTCTCTAAAACTTTTTGATAAGTAAGAATGCTTATTAAAAATTCCAGCCTTTTCCAAAGAACTGTAGTTAAACCTTCCTGGAGTGAACTTATTCACTACCTGAAAAAATAATGATACAGTTAGCACACTGCTCCCTTTGGTCTCTTCTAACCTACTTACATCCACTCCAGGTAAAGCATTCCATTATCGACCTCCTGCTTGGCCTGCAGCTTAGCTTGCTGATAAACTTCTGAAGTTTCCGGTTCACAGAGACCCAGCTGTACAATATTAGGAAACGGTTGTCGTCCAAGAAGATGTCCATTTAAAGATAAAAACTCCTGGAAATTCTCACATACTGCACAATCCTATGAACAAACTGAAATCTCTTAGAAACATAACCAGAGCCAAGATCTGACATTTTTCTGTTTCTGTGATCTTGCCACTTTAAAGGCTTAAATGAGATATTCTCTGTATGAGCTAAAAATGAACAACCATTTAGGTAACAAATATAGAGTGACCCTCTTCAAACTTTAAACATAGGATAAAAATCTCATTATCAAAGTACTACTTTATTAACACATTCCTTTAAAAAAAACTCAAACATTTTACTTCAACTTTCAAACCTCAATCCTATTCACATTCCCAGTAGGCTTGTAAATGAAATAATTAGAATAATCAAAGGTCAAAATAAGAAAATCATCTCTTTTCCTCTCCTTCTGCTCATCCCCACTATTAAACCTAGAAATGTCAAAAAAGCATGTCCCTTCACATGAAGATTTATTTTTCATGTGAATATATACCTTTTCATCCAGTATATGCCTGTATTCCACAAATTCATGAATTAGATGAGCAGGGCCTACGAGTTCTGTTTTTGCTTTAATCCAATCCAGGGAAAACATTAAAGCACGAAGTTCCTTTTAAAAAAGAAAAAAACAAATAAATAACATCAGGACTGTTAAAGAAATCAAAAAATTTTAAGTCTACCATCACTACTGAGAGACAGTTAGCAGGTATCTTAAATTTAAGGACAAAAAGGAAGCTACTGAAAAGGAAGATATAAATATTCCAAAGCAACAGAAAATGGACCTCACACCTAGGCTCAAAGTACATTTTAGTTGGATTAAAGACTTAAGTATATAAAATCAAACACTTCAAAAAATTCTAGAAGATACAAGTTAGTTCCCGAGGTGAGGGAAATGTTTGTAAACATGACGCCAAAGCAAAATACCAAAAAGAAAAATAGTGCTGGATGGTGTGACTCAGTGGATTCAGTAGAGGCCTGTGAACTGAAAGGTCTCTGGTTTGATTCCCAGTCAGGACACATGCCTGGGTTGCCAACCAGGTCTCCAGCTGTGGGCACTGGAGAGGCAACTAATCGATGTATCTCTCACACATGGTTGTTTCTTTCCCTCTCTTTCTCTCTTCCCCTCTCTAAAAATAAATAAGTAAAATCTTAAAAAAAAAAACAGAGAAAAGAACAATAGTGGTACATTTAACAACATAAAAACTCAAATCTTCAATGTAGTAGAAAATATAAATAAAATTTAAGACAAAAAAGAAATTAGGAAAAAAATTTATAACAGGTATGACAGATGGTAATATAATAAAAATGAATGATAATACTCATTATTAATTTTTATAGGAAATTCTTTAAAAAATAGGAAAAAGATATACACCCCAATATAAAAATAGACGAGAACCACAAAATAAAAAGTACAAATGGCCAAAAACCTCACCAGTAATCAAAGTAAACCAATAAGATTTACTATTATTTAATATCAGATTTTTAAAGACTAAAAAGAATGATAAGAATATTGGCTGGAATCAGAGAAAATGAACACTCTCATACACTATTGGTAGTGATATAAATCAAAGCAACCCTTCTAGAGGACAGTTTGACAATCTGTATTAAAATTCAAACTGTTCACACCATGTGACCCAGAAATTACACTTATAAATATGTGTCCTAAGAAAATAACCAGATGCATGTATTTAAGCAATCTAATTGTTCACGACCAACTGATAATCATAAAGTAGCTACATGATGAGAGAGTATACAACTTTAAAAATTATGTTGCTCTATATAAATTGACATAAAAAGATGACCATGAAATACCAGTAAGAGGAAAAAAAACAAGATATAAGACTCTATTTCTATTGTATTATGATCCTACTTTGGTTTTAAAGGACAAGTGTGTATATATGAACAACACGGTGATCTAGAAAAGTATCCACAAAAGCATTATCTGTTGCTAATTATGATCTTCATTTCCTTCTTTTAGTTTTTCTAAATTTTTCCAATGAAAATAAACCATTATCTTTAATTATCAGGAAAAAAAAGGCTTAAAAGTGAGAAGAAACTCAATCTTGCCACACTATCATATATATCAAAAGTTCGGGGTAGCGGGGTTTGTTTTGTTTTGTTTTTTAATGTATAGACCCATTAATTCCACTTCAAGGAATTTTCAAAGGAAATAATATAGGTGCAAAGATAACCAAGAATATTCATTACAGCATCATAAGGCCAAAAAGACTGAAAACAACCTAAATGTTCAACAATTACAGTTTGGTTAAGTAAATCTGGGCACTGATATTTATTGGAATACCTTCATTCCAATGTAGATTATTAAATATAAACTATATTATTAAACAGGTCATTTTACCAAGAAATAATGTACTAAGTACAGAAAAATTATTCAAAGTACATATAGTTTTCCAAAATTTTAACATTTCTAGTAGTTGGCAATTATGACTTCAAATATCATCTAGGTGTTAATAATTCCCAAATGTTATCTTTAGTCCATAATCTCCAGAAATATAGATTTATATATTTACCTACATGCTCAATATTTCCAGTTAAATGTTATAATATGTATATCAGACTTAATATACTCAAAATGAGTTCCTAACCTTCCTCCTGTCCCAAAAAAATACTTGTTCTACCCAAAGATATGGCAACTCTCTTATCATTCCACTGCACAAACTTGGAGTCATCTTTGACTCTTCTCCTATAATGCATATCAAATCCATCAGCAAATCATGCTTCTACTCCTATATCATCACTCTCCTTCTTCTTCCATGCTTTTTTCTTCTTCTGAGCATTTACTACCCCCTGACATAGTGTAAATTTATTTATCCACTGTCAGTCTCCCCCCGCAAAATGTTAAGCTCAATGACAGGAAGGACTTAGTGGCCTTTATGCATAGCCTCATAAGTAACACCACCAGTACGTTACAAGCACTCATTTGTTGAATGAATGAATATATTTTCCTACCTTCCCTTTCCTCTCTAAACTCAAAAGCAAACTCATACCACCTATAAAGAAAAGCTACCGGTAAGAAGAAAGCAAATTTTCAGGTGTTTCATTTACTGCAGTTACTAAGGTACCTTGTTAAATCACTGCAGGTAAAAATAGTAACAAAAACAAAAATACTTACATAGGCTATAATTTTTTTTTACTAATAAACATTTCTAAACAGGACTGAATAAAGGTTAGATAAAAGAAGATAATTTTTAAGTGGGTCATCTTACTTTGTGCATACTGGCACTGGCCATGTGATAGGCCAGATAATTGTACCAGTACATGCAGTCCTCCTGATCTATTGACAGAGTATGTGGCTGGTGATATCTCTGGAACTGAGTGATTATCTTCTTATGTAGATCCTGAAACCCAAATGATACATTTCAGAGGAGAGAAACAATTTCATAACCTAACATTACAGTAGCTGTAGCTTCCAGAGCTATTTAGAGAATCTCCCCACAAGATACTTATTCATTACAAAATGAAAAAAATAGCAACTTTACAGTAAAGATACTGCTAGATACCACTTTAACCAAGTGATCAACAGTAACACTGCTTATAATAAGATATATCAACACCCTGATATGATGCACCGTGAAGAAAACAACATTATTTCTGTGGTATTCTTACCGAAAATATATAACCTTGACCTAGTCAGGAGAAAGTATCAGGTAAACCCAAGCTAAGGGAGAGTGTACAAAATAATTAGCTCGGACTCCTGAAAAGTGACCATGAAAGATAGTGAAAGCTGAGGAATTTTCATAGAGTTGAGGAAACTAAGGAACCATGACAAGCATATGTAATACGGAACTCTGAATTGGATTTGGACCACAAAAAAAGGACACTAGTGGGAAAGCAGGCAAAAGTCAAAGTGTATAGATTAGTAACATTGTAGTTTTGTCAGATGCTGACACTGGGGGGAGGGGCTAGGTGAAGGGTATAGGCACAGAAACTATACCATTTTGCAACTTTCCTGTATCTAAAATTATTTCAAAATAAAGTTTTATATATTAAAAAAAGAAAGAGAACGTATAGAGGTGCAAGTACCTGAAGCTGGTTGCGGTTCTTCTCTGTAAGGAAATCTACTTGAAGATCATGCAAATAATAACAAAATGATTTTCCATTCCGATCACAGAATAAGAGAGACTTATTAACAAACTCCTGCAGTATGTCTTCGACTTCTTCAGTTTCCATGTCCCAGAGAACACACAACACCTAGGAATCATTTTAAGCATTTAATGTGCCACAAAATTACACTGACCAGGGTTGCAGACAAGGTGCTAGTACACAAAAAAACCGTATCTCAAAGCACTGAATAAGAATCTCTACTTCATAAGAAGAAGCTCAACCATTCCTCAAGATAAAAGAAAGAAAGAAAGAAATCGGATGCTTCTCCAGCTACACTAGAACCACTTAGAAACAGATAATTTATTCCCAGTTCAACACTGAACCCTTGAGACTGAGGCTGGAGACTGAGAGCAGTGAAACTTCTGGACCTTCCATCCCACCACCTCAGTCACGTGGGTCTTATCTTTCCAGTATCCTCTGTAACAATATTCTTGGTACTGCATCAAAGGTTACATGCCATAAATACCCAGGGATGAGGATTCTTGGTCCTTCTATTACCTTTGTAGGCACCTTAACATCCTTCTGAAAGATGGAAAGATCTGTGTAATAACCTTTCATATCTTCTTCGAGCATGTCAACACTTATAGACATGGCTTCATCCAAAGCCTCATAATCATAAGATGAAGATTTCCGTATCCTCTTAAACTGCTTATTCTGAAGTTGCCTGAGGTAGTATTCCCAGCGGTTGGGAAAATCGCGTAAAAGAGCACCAATTAAAGACACTACAAGAGGAGAACCTAAAAAAACAAACAAAGTCAATGTATTAATATTGTCTCATTTCAGAATTACTGCTAAGTTAAGAATCAATGTATTGCTGCATGGTACCCAAAGCCTTAACATTTTCATTTTAAGGAAATCATTAAAAATAAGAAATATTTCATTTAAGGAAAATCATCACAGAATTATTTAAAATAATGAAAAATCTTAAAGAATAACAAAAACTACTGGATTAATGTATATCACAATATTATGCCATTGGTAAATTTTTTTCAAAAGATATTTGATGACATGGGGAAATGCTCAAGACTTGTATAAAAAGGATAACATTTTAAATTATGTATACCACATCATAATCTCTATTTTTTCCGAAGTTTTATATGTCCTAAAAGACTGGAAGAAATAGTCTCATGATATTAATAATTATCAGATTATGAATAATTTCTATTATTTCTTTATAGTATGGATATGCATCAGCTTTATAATAAATATAAATCAAGCATTTTTTTCTAAGTTTAAGATTTTTTTAAAGACAATTAACTCAAAACCAAGTATCTTCTTGATGGCAGAAAGGAAAAAAAGAATGTGTTTCCATGCATTAACAACAATGGAAATAGTAATCTTAAGTGCTGATAGATTTGACCGCACAGAAGTTTAAATTTCTGTACTTCAAAAAGACTACAGACAAATGAAATTTAAAAGCAGACAAAAAACTGAGGAAAAATATATGAAAAAACATGAAAAAGGGCTAATAGCTTCAACAGCTCCATTAAAGATACTTATATCACAAAAGGAAAGTCAAGGATTTCTCAAAATGCAAAAATTCAATAAATCAATAAAAAGTTTAACTTCACTAGTGAAAAGTGCAAATTAAGAGGCCAAAACCAGCTTTTACTTATCAAATTAGAATACTACTTTTTTAAAATCCCAACCAAAAAATTTAAAATTCTTACTACATTTGTTGTTCTTGGACAGCAGAGGTCATGTCTTCATGCTAACGTATTGTGGCTGTTCATTAATATTATCTTTATGAATGAATGAATACCAAAATATCATTATACATTTAGGATATCAGAGAAAAACCTAAAATGCTGAATATTGTAGCAAAGTTTTTGGATGTTCATGTACTAAACTGGCATATTCATCAACTTAATTTATATCAGGGTAAATTAACATCTCTATAACCTACTCACACACAAAATAAATTACTATACCTTTGCATTCTTTTATAATACTATGAGCTTGTTCTGGCAAATCTGATTTCTTCATATTAACAAAAAGGGATAAAATTTCAAGTCCTTTTTCTTTTCCTAAGCCACTCTCCACAGAAACTACAAATTTAGGACCTGCAAAATCATAAGATATAATAAGTAATTCAGGCCACATATTTAAATGTAATTGAATTAAAACATAAAAGTACTAAAAACATATTTAAATGTAATTGAATTAAAACATAAAAGTACTAAAAAGTAAATTAATAATCCTTACCCATTACTGAATCTGTAACACTCTTGTCTCTGGTTGTAAGAAGAATCTGACACTGATTGTCAAAAGCTTTTAACACCCAAGGATCCCAAACGTCATCCAAGATCAAAAGAGACCTAATTAAAAGAATACATTGAGTCACAAATGACATTTATTTTAAGCTTCCTTTAAAAAAAGAGAATGCCACCACTGTTTTTTAAATTTCCTCTTTTCTCTGCTATATACATTTCACAATACAATGGCAGGCAAAAGGAGGTTTACAGTTGTTCTTTTGGAAAATAACACAATAATTAATAAATAATAATACAAGAATAAGCTTGCATACTCACAACTGTAAACCCTTTTTGCCCACCCTTGTATAGTGATCCAAAAAAGGAAAAAAAAATAAGCATTCCTCCCACCTGAAATCAATGTACATTAAAGTTAAAGGGCCTATAAAAAAGAGGGCTGTAAGTATTACCAATCAGCTACCTAGTGCCTATCCATGTAATGAGATCTTTTTTCCCAATTCAGTCATTAAGCACCAAAACCAAATGAGAACTGCGGTGAGGTTAGCATTAGATTGAATCACAGAACAATGATGATTTTTAACTCTTTTTTACCTACAAAAATATTCCGACCTAATAGAATGCACTAGCAAGTTTACTTTTCATTTGATACACTAGTGGGGTATTTTCCATCCAAGAAATCAGTTTATTCATAATGAAAAAAACCCTCTGTGCTAATTCTTGACTGGTCTCTCCAACAACTTTCTAAAACTCACCAGAACTGCCCTGGCTGGTGTGGATCAGTGGACTGAGGACCCACCTGCAAACCAAAGGGTCGCCAGTTCAATTCCCAGCCAGGGCACAAGTCTGGATTGCGGGCCAGGTCCCAGTAGGGGGCATACGAGAGGCAACCACACTTAGATGTTTCTCTCCCTCTCTTTCTCCTTTCCCCCTCATAAATAAAATCTTAAAAAAAAAAAACACCACCACAACAAGCGAGGAAAAAATACAGCTAAAAACCAGATTACATACTCCTGTAATTATGCCACACTACTTCTGAACACTACAAAAAAAGACTCTAGGCACATACACAGGTTGGAAAACTACAAAAGCACAAACCAAAAATGACTGGCATTATAAGCCATGTTCTGACACACCTGAGAGTGGTTACAGTATTTTCCTAAACAGTAATCACTTACGTTTTGCAAAGAAAGGAAGTAGAATTAGGGAGAAGTTACTGAGCAAGAAAAAGGAGAATGGTTAATGGTCTCAGTTCTATTTCCTCCAGGAAAGTGGATACCAGTGACTATCCAGCGGAAAGGGAGATGATGGAAGGGTTTGGTGGAGAAAAAAGCCAGAGAAAAGGGAGTTTCCCTCTATAGTGAGTACCCGACATAATCATCTAAAAGAGACTTTTTCCAAAAATTATTCCTCTCACTCAATATTCTGATAATCCCATTACCAACGGTCAGGTGCAGCAGTGCCATCATCTGCCCCTTGCCCGACTTACTGTCACACTCCCAAGGAATGCTTCAGTCACCATTGTACTTGCAGCACTGACCCAGGCCCAACACTCAATGCTACTTAAATGAGCAAGTGAAAAGAATGGCCACTAGATTATGGAAATCAAACTACTGACTGATCCACGACTATACCCTTAACACAAGCAGCCACTAAATTGCTGTCTCCCTTACGACTTAGTGAAAATTGTGAGACAGCTTGTAACAGTGCCTGGCACATAATTATATCGGTATTTGTTGAATGAATTAATGAAATAAACAAATAAAGCAAACTTGAAGTACATGGAAATAGAAGAGTTACATGTATACCCCAAAACTAATAGAAAACACAATAGAAGGATCCCATTAAATTAAAAAAAACTTACTGACTCAGTCCTTTACCAGTTGCCAACATTTATTGTCTCTTGTTCAATGTTAATCCATTAGAAATAATGGACTCAAAGTAACATCTTGCATTTTCTAGCAAAGACCACTCACCTACTTAAGAAATATTTCTTAAGAGTATGCAATGGTATATAAAAGATGATGTGGTAGGTAGGAGCCAAAGAAGAGAAAAGCCACAGTTTTAGGCCAGTGGAAGCCTTTTTTTTTTTTTTTTTTTTTTTTAAAGTACAAGAGAGAACAGCAGGAACAAAAAGGTTTGTTTTTATACCCTCTATTAAACAGTGAGAAAAGGGTATGATGCTCTCAAGGTGTCAGTAATTAAGACTCATTGGGATTTCATACCCCAACTAGATTCAGCCATCTGTACCTTGGATGTTTGCGCAGCATCAGAATACGGAGACGGTCTTTAGCCTCTTCAATATTAAGTGGAAGCCTCTGGGAGAAACTCTCATCCTGATCCAGCCGTGTACAAAGGTTCTGTAGTTTCATCAGAAGCCCAGATTTGTCCTGTTTCCCAACCGAAACCCAGTGCACACCCCCTGGGAAACAACCTGGTGAGGAAATAATAATACACTTAAGGTTTTTGAACAGGAGTCCTTCTTTCAAAGATTTTCCTAATAAAGCAGCAGATCTGTTTCAACCTTCAAACTCATCACATCTTCAACTTCTTTTGATTAAGGGTGTAAATGTTATGCCCTAGCTGGTGTGGCTCAGTGGATTGCGTGCCGGCCAGCGAACCAAAAGGTTGCCAGTTAAGATTCCCAGTCAGGGCACATACCTGGATTGCAGGCCAGGTCCCCAGTTGGGATCATGTGAAAGGCAACTGATCCATGTATCTCTCGCATATTGATGTTTCCCTCCCTCTCTTTCTCCTTCCCTTTCCCTCTTTCTAAAAATAAATAAATGAAATTTTTTTTTATTTTTACTTGTAGGTTATTACTGAGCTTTACAGCCTGAATCTAAGAAATTGAAGTTTGGAGTAAATATGATTTTTATCAGTAAAAATCTTACCAAACAAAATTTCATAATCTTTGTCCTATGTCATCAATCATCACTGTACAGTATAGTCTCTCAGCCTAAGCACTCTAGACATTTTGGCCCAGATAACTCATTGCTGTGAGAGACTGCTCTGTGCATTGCAGGATGTTTAACAGCCTCCCTGGCTTTTACCCACCAGATGCTAGGAGCATTCCTCCCCCTCATCTCCTGGTTATGATAATCAAAAGTGTCTCCAGACATTGCCAAATGTCAGCTGGAGGAGAGGGGTAAAAATCACCTCTGACTGAAAACCGCGAATGTCTAGAAACATGTAACTCACTCATTATGGTTCTTCTAGAGGAACTTAAAGAAGTTAGGTTCAAATCTGGCTCTACTGCTTACTAGTTATACAATCTTTGGCAAATCACTTAACCTCAGTCTCATCTATTATACTGAAATTTACTATTTATCCCACCTATTTTAGAGTTACTCTGAGAAATTAATGGTATCAAATATGTAAATTTGCTATGTTAACTGTAAAGGGGTGCAAGAGACTTCTCAGTGATAGGGCTCTGAGAGCACCTTACACATATTAAGTTTTGAACTTAAGATTAGGAAAATCTTAAGACACTACTTAATCAGCTCCCCATAGATAGAAAAAAATGTAAGAGGGGTCCCTATGTGTAAAATATGGTAGACAGTAACATTATATCAGTGGCATTAATCATAAAGATTTATAATATGTCATAATAAAATATAAGAAAAAGCAAAAAATAGATATAAGGATATATCCTTATATTATATTATATTATACCAAAAGGTAATTTATTTACAGGTATTCAGAGATAATGAAGTACAAAAAGAAATCACTATTTTAAAAACTTAGTCATCCCAAAGAATTATTTGTATATATGCACAAAGATTTATGACAGATTTTTTTTAGCACTATTCTAATAATTCTACACATTAATCTACATTTAATCCCCACAGTAGTCTATCAAGCAGACACTATTACTATCCCCCACTTTACAGACGAGGAAACTGAGGTATAGAAAAGTTGAGTAATTTTTCTAAGGTTATACAGCTAATAAAGCAGAGATGAGATTTCAAAACCCCAGCCTCAACACTCAACTTCTAAACTGTTCTTCTGCCACAAGGATCTTCATGGCAGCACTGTGTGCAACAGGAAACAGCTGGAGAGCGCCAGCAATGTCCATCTGAACTGCCTCTTCCCCTACAAGTTTCCAAAGCCTGAGGCAGGCTCAACTGAGGAAGGATAGAACCTCATATATAAAGTTTAGAGTATTAAATAGGACTTGACATTTTAATTATTGAAATGAAACTTTTTAAAATTGTTTATTGATTTTAGAGAAAGAGAAAGGGAGCGAGACGGAGAGGGAGAAACATCAATTTGTTGTTCCATTTATTTATGCATTCATTGGTTGCTTCTTGTATTTGCCCTGACCAGGACTGAACCCACAACCTTGGTGTACTGGGACAACACTCTAACCAACTGAGCTACCTGGCCTGGTCAAAATGAAATTTTTTTAAAAATTTGCAGTGACCTGGGGACACTAAACCTGTACAAGGTCAAAGAATCTGTCCCAAAGAAGAGTTTTAAATAGGCAATGAGGGAAAAGAGTAAAGCTGTTTTCTGATTATACCCAATAAACCTTGATGCAATAGTTACATATCCACTAAATAAACCCAGTAAAACTACCAAGGTTTATAATCATGAATTTAAATTGAAACTCAGTTGGGTGATTGCCCCAGCAAAAAAGAAGCAATTAACAACCTGGATGAGCAACAGAGACTAAGAATGAATACTTACTCCATCTTCTAACATAAAGAAGGAGTCAACCTTCACCCAAGATAAGGAGAGAACCTAAGAGCCAAGAGTATGTGCTAAGGAGCAACCAAATGATCGGCAATAAAAATCTAGACCCAAGCCTAGGAGGAGACTGATAAGATAAATAGTAAGGATATTATGGAATCAATGGATATTTCTTGATAGGTCAGAAAACTGTACTAGTGAACCTTAAGAACAGAGTAAGTAGAAGCAGGCAAAGAGTAGAATAGAATGTTCATATCAAAAGTGGTATCCCTTTGGTAATTCAAAGGATCAGAGTTCAGGCCAGGGTTCAGGAAAGCATATGGCTAAAGGGTAGTGAAGAAAATGTTACTAAAGATAAAGAAGTCAAGGAAGTGGGAGGCCAAGATTTTGGATGACTCATCCACTGAGATATTAAAATCACCGAGTATGCCCCAAAAAAGAAGGGCTTACATTTACTATTAAGAACTCCAGCCCAAGCTGGTGTGGCTCAATGGATTGAGCACCACCAACCTGTGAACCAAAGGTCACTGGTTCAATTCCCAGTTCAGGGTACATGCTTGGGTTGCAGGCTAGGGCCCCAGCTGCGGGCATGTGAGGGGCAACCAATCAATGTTTCTCTCCCTCTTTTCTCCATCCCTTCCCCTCTCTCTAAAAGTAAATAAAAGAAAGTAAAAATAAAAAAGAAAAAGAAAAAAAAAGAAATGAACTCTGCCCTTCTACATTAAAAATAAATTTTTTAAAAAAGAACTCCAGTCATCAATGAATGAGAGGACACAACTGGGAAAGACTGAAGAAATGAGCTTCAAAGGACAAAGAATTTAGCTGAAGAAAGAGTATTAATAGTTTGAATGAGGCAACACAGAGCAAGAATAACATCTTCCCATTTCCTGGTGATGAAGTATGTGGGATATAAATGAAAAAGAGTTGCCACACCAGTGAAGAAGGCTATGGAAAAGGTGGTATCCTCAGGGAACTGCCCAGTTCCAGTAAGACAAAAAGGTAAACATTCTAAGAAGGGGTTGATGACAGGGGAGTTTCCTGGTCACAGAGGAGGAAGTCTGCAGGGTATGGCAGAAGAGTTGGGAACGAGGGGAGGAGACCTAGATCAGAATTTGGCAATGTACTGAGTAGTAACTGCATGAGAAAATCTAAAAAACAGCGCATGACCAAGAGACAGAGGACTCTGTGATAACTGAGGTAAAGATGGCGCTACGAAGCACAGGTTGATTATCAGTGCAAAGGTCTAAGAAGGTAGACAAGTCCTACGCTTTACTCCTGAAAGCTTCCAGAAGTTCCTTTAGGCTTCCTTCCGTGTGAGTCAACAGTTACAAAGCAGTAAATCCTTGATTTCTGTTTCACTTTCTGGCTCCACCTAGTGGTGTAGCTATGCTCTATGGGTGTAACGTTTGTAAATACACAGGAAAAAGTTTGGAACAATTCACTCTAAACTGTTAACCATGATTATCTGTGGTGAAGAATTTAGAAAAAGGGGAGAAGGGCAAGTGAGAAGAATTTTATTTTCTTTTTAAATGAAAATATTATAACTGTAATATTTAAACAAAGTTTTAAACTACTTTTTGCTCCTAGGGTTTGTTTTTTTTTTTAATTTGTGCTATTTTTAAAAAATTTTTTAATCATTCCAGGATTAAAGACAAGGAAAAGAAAGTATCCTGACATAGCTATCTAGTAAATTCTTTAGATTTAAATTTAAGTACCTGTTACCTACATAAAGTCTTTCTCTCCTAAGTTTAAAACTAATAAATGAGAGCGTTATAAATATAAGCAAAAAAGTAAGTAAAACACTAACAGCTTTCAAAATAAAGACAGACCAAATAACTTACTGATCTGCAAAAATCCTGCTATCACAAAATGACAATAAATACTGAAGCATGAATTCCATATTTCAGAAGGAATCTAAACATTTTGACTATGAGCACAAGAGGGAGCAATTTAGCCTTGGATGATTTCTATAATTCATTCAGAAAAACTTAATCAGGAAAAAAAAACTGCCTTTATTCAGAGAAAATTAACCCTATCCTACTTTCACACACGGTTTATCCTGGTAACAATTAATAATCTAATGGCATCAAGGAAACTGTGGGAAGAACAGAAGCAAATAGACAGACTCTGGAGAAAGTTTCCATTTTTTAAAACCTCAGGGAGGCTGGAGAATGTACTCAATCCCCAATGACCAATGATTTGATCAATCATGACTACGTAATGAGGCCTCCATAAAATCTCATAAGAGTGGGGTTCGGAGAGCTTCTGGGCTGGCGAACACAAGGAGCCTTGGGGAGAGTAGCTTACCCACAGAAGCTGTGGAAGCTTCGCACCTTTCCCACGTGTTTTGTCATTATGCATCACTTTCATCTGGCTATTCCTGAGTTATATCCTTTTATAATAAACCAGTGATCTAGTAAGTAAAATGTTTTCCTGAGTTTTGTGAGCAGCTGTAGCAAATTAATCAAACCCAAGAAGAGGCAACCTCTGGTCAGAAGCACAGGTAACGATCTGGAATTGTGACTGTCATCTAAAGGGGGGAGGGGTAGGGGGCAGTCTGTGAGACTGAACTCATAACTAGTGGGATCTGACGCTACCTCCAGACACTGTTGGAATGCAGTTTAAATTGTAGGACACCGAGCTGGTGTTAAAGAATTGCTGGATGTGTAGAAAATTCACACGTGGTGTCAGAAATGTAGTGTTGCAGTTGTGTAGAGGAAACACACAGGAGGAATGTTTTTCCCTAGAGGAGGGGAAGGGATATGAGAATGGAAATTTTTTTAAAGAAAATACACACAGTAAGAAGCTAAGACTTATACAGATCTAATATGGCAAGGACTGTGAACTAAAAAATATGATTAACTCAATCCTCTGTACTTAAGAGCTCACAAAAGCATATGAGGAATATGAATTACACTCACTATGCACCAGAAAATTGCTACAATCTCCGACATTTTCTCAAAACAAAATAGTTAAAATCTATTCCAAGAACACAATTTATACAGTATGATTCCTGGGCAATTAATTCCATAAGTTGTTGGTCAATTTTAACCCCTAAAATTAAAAATTCACCCTAATAACCCTGGTCAGTGTGGCTCATTTGGTTGGGCAACATCCCACAAAGCAGAAGGTTGCTGGTTCTATTCCCATTCTGGGCACATGCCTAGGCTGCAGGTTCGGTTCCTGGTCAGAGCACATATGAGAAGCAATGGATTAATGTTTCTCTCTCATATCGATGTTTCTCTCCCTCTCTTTCTCCCTCCCTTCTCCTCTAAAAAAATTTTTAAAAATAAAATAATTACCCCAATAATCGAGTAATTTAAACTGGGTTGAGTGGCACACTTTTTACCCTATAAATTAGTACATTATTGTGTATTTTTATTAAAAACTCATCATAATATTGAAAGAAAAAACCTATTTCTTTATACTAAAGGGACTTAAACCAATTTTACCGTGAAATATCTTTGGTGATCAACTTTGCAGTAAAGGTCAAAATCAATCAATCAATCAATCAATCAATCCTTAGCCCTGAGATCTGCATAGAGCTGAGTCTGAGGAAAATTCTCTCTAATAATAGAGTAGGGGAAATCAGGCTTTAGAACTTGGGCATCTTCCAACAAGAGTAAGACCAATACTGCTGACAAAGGCTTGAAGTACAAATCAAGCCTTGTGTATACAACAGATATGCCCTAGCCTCCACCTTTACAAATCTCTTAAAAGTTTAATATTTATTCCATTCATTCTATTATCTCATCATAAAGGGTCTTAATAGCTAATTATGTATTATAAAGAAAAAAGTTATTAACAACTCAAAATCAGGAACTGTCCTTAAAATTACCCTAGAACTCACTAATGAATAGAGGAATCCAAAGACTGAGGGAGCTATACAGCTATTCCTGACAAATACCCTGAGAACTTATCAGACTCATTAAGGTCAAGAGTACACCTGCCAAATGCCCTAAATCCTCTTCTGTACAGTATGCCCTTCCCCATTCCAATCACTACCCATTACCCTCCCCACCTACTCTAGACTCCCATCCCTACCTAGTCTGCCTGGCAAACTTCTATTCTTCCTCCAAACTAGAGCTAAAATGTCATCTCATTTAGTTCTAGCCAGTATGGCTCAGTTGCCTGGAGCACCATCCCATAACCTAAAGGATGCGGGTTTGATTCCTGGTCCAGGGCACACACCTAGGTTGCAGTTCAATCCCCAGTCCTGGTATGAATGATTGCAGGTCTAGGGGATTGTGGGGGACAACCAATAGATGCTTCTCTCTCACACTGATGTTTCTCTCTCCCATCCTCCTTCTACAAGCTCTGAAAAAATGTCTTCAGGCAACGATAGAAAAAGTTTTTTTAAATCCTCTCATTTAGGAAACCTATCCTGTCCATCCTCTTTCCCTGGAGAGATATCATTTCATTCCTTCATTCTAACTTTGTACTTTATACTTGTTTCTACTGTTCAATTTATCTCATATATCATAATTTGTTTACATATCTATCTCCCCTACTAGAATGTAAGTGAATTCCTTAGGTGTACAAGCTGTGCCTTCTTTTTGGATCTCCAGTGCCCAAGGCGGTTCTGAGCACCTCAAGAAACTCTCAAATATTTACCAAATACATGAATACCTGAAACAAGAAAAGTCAATTACCAGATATTGAATGTATCTGTAAAACCTACCTACAAAAACGAATCAGTTGCTATAGCCAGCTCCCAACTTTACTTTTTCTTGGGGCTTACCATAAAATAGACAAGTTACTAAAGATTTTTATTTTTAAAGACCAGCAACCAATAAAATTAATTACAGAAATGAAATTCATGGAACTGAGTTTCCAAGAATCTCCTTCCCCACAGCACTCTATACCAAAACAGACATGCAACTGTCAGGAATGTATAAGTCCAGTACTGCCTAAAAGGCAGGGATATAGCCTTTCAAGATATTTTTTCAACTCTACAGTTCCTTCAATTATTAAGATACAAGGGAACTAGTTTCATTCCAGTAATAATAAGTACCATCTGATAATATATGAATTTAATGGCCTGGGTAGCCAACCCTCTTTGTGACAGGCTAGGTTGAAAATAAACTTCAAATTTCATCATACTACGGTAGGCCAAATAATAGCCCCTCAAAGATGTCTAGATCTCATTCCACAGAACTGTAAATGTTACCTTCCATGGCAAAAGGGGCTTTGGAGATGCAATTAAATTAAGGATTTTGAGATAAGATTATCCCAGATTATCCTGGTGGTAATATAATCACTAGGGCCTTTATAGGAGGGAGGCAAGAAGGTTAGAGTCAGAAAAAGAGATGTGACAAGAGAGGCAAAGATCAGAGAGAAAGAGAAAGACGTGCAAATGCTATGCACTGCCAGCTTTGAAAATGGAGGAAGGGACCATGAGCCAAGGAATTCAGGCCACCTCTAGAAGCTACAAGGAAAAGAACTCTCCCTGGAGCCTCCAGAAGAAACTCAGTCCTGCTGAAGCCCAGATTTTAACCAAGATTAATTTTGAATTTCTGACCTGCAAAATGATTAAGATAATAAATTTGTGTTATTATAAGCCACCAAAGTTTTGGTAACTTATTATAACAGCAATAGGAAACTAATACAATGACTAAAGAATATCTCCTTAGCCAGCAACATACGGTAGTCAAAACTTACCTTCTAAGAAGGCATGATCTCTAACAGCTTCTGCAGCTAATACAGACTTCCCACAACCTGCCATTCCATATACAGTGACCCATCCTGGTTCACCGTTCAGTTTGAAGAGCTTCTGCTGAATTGCATTCACCAGCTTCTTTCTAGTAACAAAAACAACTGGCCTCTGCGGTACTCCTCCTTCACACAGGACTGTTCTTACTGAAATCCAAAACAAAACAAGTATGAATAGAACTTTGAAATGGTTACTCAAATACCGTAATAACCAAAGAGAATAAGCCTGAGGCCTTAGCTTCAGAAGTTCCAAGAGAAGAAAACGTGGCTAGCATATTAGCTTCAACTAATTTCTGAGAAAAACCAGAATAAAAGCAAACATATGCCTTTCAAGATGACCATAGACAATGAAAATCTCCATCTGTATCTGCCCTTACCCTATTCCTCTCTGACTCCAATCTCTCATATTAAAGACTGGGAAGGAGAGCATGAAGGGAGGAATACGGAATTCCTTTCAAGAACTGAGATTTCTAAAGATTTTTATTCTTTCCTATGCATAAACACAGAACTGAGGAACTTAAATAAAGGCCTATAAATTGTCTTATTATCTCTAAAACTTAGGGTATCTACTATTACCTCTGTAGTCGATAGCTCACTGGGCAAGAAGAAAATGTGAGGTAATATAGAAGCAAATAAAAATATTTAGATTGGAAAACATAATTTTTTCACATGCATTTTTCAGTGAACTGATCACTGTCTTCAGCAGACTCCATCTAGAATAAGACAAAACTGCAGCAATGTAGCCACTGTGATAGCAACATGATAGAAAGTATTATGCATACAAACCATATGAAGTTATTCCACCAACTGAATCTTTGCCATTGGAAGAAGAGATGACAGGAAGGCCACCATGGAGAAGGACAGCAAGATCTTTATACCCTTCATGTAATAAAGCATTGTAGAATGATATGTAGGAATAATTATCTTTTTTAAGTATCATTTTAATTAGCAATGCCGCTCGATGCTGTTGAGTAGGCTAAAAAAAGAAAGTAGTAGTTTAGTATACTACAAAGAATATGTTTACAACAAATTAGTGGAGACCAGTGCAAATTCTGAAATAAATTCAGAGAAAAAAATTTTTTACTCCTCGCATGAGGACATGTTTATGAATTTCTAGAAAGGAGCGGAGAGAGAGAGAAGCATCGATTTGAGAGAAATATTGATAGGCTGCCTCCTATATGCATTCTGACAGGGAATCAAATACTCCACTGGAATCAAACCCACAACCTTTTGGTGTACAGGACACCACTCCAACCAACTGAGCCAACCAACCAAGGCCTAAATTCTAAAAATCTGAAAGAAAGCACAGACTGCTTCAGAGAGGTTTACCTCATTTTTCACTTTTTCCTCCTCAGAGGGTGTTAAAACTCCATCACTAATCATGTGATCCATTATGTAGGATGTTTTGATGTCCTTTTCCAGGGCTTCTCTATGTTGAAGCAAACAATTTCGAGCTTTTGCATCCATCCTCCCTCAAACGTTTCTCTCTCTGAGCTGTTAATCATGAGCTACAGACAAACATCAAAATATATGTCAGGCCAACAAAGATAATAAAGATGTATACCTCACTCATAATCAGGAAATGTAAAAAAAAATATATATATATTTCGTGAAGATTTTATTATTTTATTGTTCAATACAGTTGTCTCCATTTTCCCGCCACCACTTTCCCCTGCCCCACCCACCCCCACCTCCCACCCTCAATCCTTCCCCACTTCGGCTTTGTCCACGGGTCCTTTATACATAAGTGAAGATTTTTTTTTAATGGATAAGACCCAGTGCCTTCAAAGGTACAAGAAAATGGGCATTCTTACACATTACTTGAGGTGAGTACAAAATGGATACTTTTCTGAAAGGCAAATACAAGATACAAAAGTGTTGAAAGTAAGCACTTTCTTTAACCCAGCAATGTCACTTCTAGGAATTTATCCTGATGAGACACTCACATGGATATGCAAAAAATGTCCACAGAAAAGTGGCAACAGAGACTGTTTAAGAGAGAAAGAAACGATGAAAACCAAAATGCCCACTATTCTGAGTATGGATTAAAAAATTAGGGTTTGTATATAAGATGGAATATTATATGCCCATTCAAAATAAAACACACCTCCATGTACTGACATGAAAAGATGCAAATGCCACATTGCTGATTGAAAAAAATTAGGAATATGATACTGTGAACAGCACAAAAGGTGTGTTGGCAATATGTAAATACACAGGGAGATCTTCAGAAGTTGGTTCAACAAAAAGTTTGGGTTACTTCTAAGTAGCAAGACTTGAAGGTTTTTTCTCCTGTCTATTTGTGTACTGTTTTATAGTGTCTTAATTTTTTTTCACTGTACATTATCACTTTACAATAAAAAACTTCCTTTTAAATAAAAGATTTATAAACAATGACGATACTTAAGTCCTAACGTTTAAAAACTTCTTGTTTTCTTTATTCAACATAAGACTAAATAGAACGTTGTTGGTATTATTAGTTCTCGCTCAACATCTGCATCAGTTCTCCATCTTCAATGGTAAACACATTTCTCATATGCTCACTCCACCACTGTTTCAGCTGAGCTGCTAAGAATGACAAAGCAACAGGAAATACCCACTGTTGTCACTTCTTGGATTAAGAGACAGCAAAGAAAGAATCATATTCTTTACAGTGTAAAACTTAAGTTTCTACCAACTTTATTTCAAACAGAATGCAAATTTTGCCATGGATATACAACCCAGATCAGAATGTTTGCAAGTTTTTAAAACAGTAACAGAACTCTAGCCAATGAATTTATTAAAGTGAGTGTCTAAATGCGTTTATTAATTTATTCATTCAATGAACACTTGAGCCTCTGCTAGGCGCCAGGCTCTGAATATACAGAAAAAGATTAAATCATATCCCTGCTGGAACTCACAATCTAGTGCGGAAAAAAATTAAGATAATTAGAATGTGATGTCTAAGTGCAAAAACAGAGATAGGCACAAGTAACTTAAATTGCACAAAAAATGAGTAATAATCATTAAGTTTCAGTAATGACTATATATTTTTAAAGAGCCACCAAACAGGGGAGTAGAGCATTTGCCCATGTTTGTCAAGGTTCACAGAATGCCCAGGTCCAGCATGAAACTGACAAAAGAAAAAGTTATGGTTAGAATCACGGCTATAACATTTTTAAAATGTTAATAATGTTTTTATGATCTCAATTTAAATATAAAACACCCCTTAATTTTTGGTAACAAAACTCAATTTGACCAAACAAATTTTTCAAATTATGTCCAATTGCCTAGCAAATAGACTCTCTGAACTCTGGCAATCTGAACCTAATTTCCAACTTTTCCTAGCCCTATCAACAATACGTAAATTTTAAAGCGCACAAACTGAAATATTATGATCAAATTCTCAGTGTCCCATCTTTTGTGGCCACAAAATGAAAAGTCGAAAGTCTTCATAGATGTAAAATCTATTTTTTCTTTTTAAAGAATGGCACTTTCATCCAGGAAAACCGTTAATAGTCAACTACTTCCTCTTTAGAGAACTGCTCTTCCTGGTAGAGGAGGTACCTTGTCCCACAATTCTGAGTCCCTGAAATCGGTACAGAACCACCAAGGAACCGGCTCGGAGAGCAAAACGAGGTGCAAACTTACCTAAACCTTCGCACCAAGATCTTACTGGGATAAGCAGCCCTGTGAGGACAAGGCTGCTTATCCCAGTAAGCAGACTTGGAAATCAAATTTCGGGGGCGGTAACGGGGACTTCCGAAAGGCTGAAGGACAAGTCCCAGTCTCCCAGGTGCCTCACCTGGGCTTCCGCAGCCCGGAGCTCCTGAAGGTTCAGAGGGACCTCCGACCGCCGGAGAGGTAGGCGTGACCTCCGCGGGCGGGCAACACAGTCCCGGGACACCGAGGTGAGGCCTGGCCCGTGGGCCGCTCTCTCGGTGGACCCCACCCCAGACACAATGAAACGAGGGCCACTCGGACTGCCACTCCTTCCCTTAAGCAGCAGCTGCACCCGGGTGGCCCAGTGCCACCCCCGACACTGCCGTGGCTACTTCAAGTCCTCCCGGGGAGCTGACGCCCCAACCTCTTCCCTCACCTTCGGCTCCCCAGCCACTGTGGCCCAGGAATAAAACATCCGCGCTCACTTCACGCCACCTCCTCTTTCCCTTAGGACCGCGGAGCAGTCGAATTCCGCGGAGCCCGCCCAGCCGGACGGCGCGCGCCCGCGCATGCAAATAAACACTCCGGGAGCCCAGCTTAGGGTGGCCACCGCCGCGCGCGCTCCCGCTACGGCTTGTGCCCGCGCGCGCACAAGCGCCCTGCGCCCCACCCCACAGCGGGGCGTGGCTAAGCAATAGGGGCGTGCCGCGTTGTGGTTCTGCCTCGCCCCCGGGGTTCCCTTGGCTCGGCCGAGCCGAGCCACTACGATTTCCTGGGGCTTGTAGCACTAACGCAGAGGGAGGGTGACGTAAAGTCAACGTCCCTCTCTGCTGGGAGACGGGAGGACTCCGAGAAGGAGCGAGGATGGCCGCGAGAGAAAGAGGGCTGACTTCTGGGCGGCGCTAAGTCTGGGCGGGGACGAGGTCACCGCCGAGGCTTCCAGTGGAGTCTAAGGAGGCCACGTCTCGCTCCCCGAAAGTATAGCGGCCGCCCCGGGTTTTCCATACTCAGGGCCTCCAGACATGTCCGAGGTGAAGAACCGGAAGAAGTCGGGGCCCAAGGGAGTCCCCGCCGATCCCGGGAAGCGGAGCGAGACCGGAAAGAGCCCAGAGTCCCGGGACGGTGGAGGTGGGGGCTGGGTGGACCTCCGGACTGGCGTGAGCCTCCTGTCACTAGGGATGTGCCTGGGCTTGGCCTGGTAAGTGGACGCGAGGCTGTCCGGGCCCCGTGTCCGGCCTCCCGTGGTCGCCCTGCTCTTGTCGGGGTCCCGCACCGGCCCCACCCGGCTCGGCATCCACTAATCTCACCCCCCTTCCCCAGACTTGTGGTTTCTATTCCCCTGCCTCGACCTCCAAGAAGCAAGAGCCTAACTTTTTTTTTTTCTCTCTCGCTCTTGTAACTTATTTTACCTTTGTACTAGTAGCTTGCCGCGTTTGCTCAACTGGAGTTGATGCTAAGATTTGGAATGCGTCAGCCATTTCTTAAGAGATGCAGATTTGACCAAACTCTATTCAGTGTCTACTACACGTCTGAAGCTTTCCCGTTTTTATAACCCGTTATTTCCAGTCCGCTGTGCATTTGTCCGGGACAAATTTGTCCCACTCCATAAATGCCTAATGGCAACATTTTATAATTAAAAGGATTAATTATGATCTCAAAGCAATAAACGTTAATCATTATATCAAAGTTTGGAGGATTTCTCATATATTGACCCATGTACGTGCGTTTATGAGTTTATACTTAAGCTACAGATTGAATTTTAGTACTGGAACCGCAACAGAAATATAACACTTGTGACAAGACTGACCTTTTAAATTAGACCTTCACTCCATTTTTCACTGATTTTAAAGTATTTAGAAGGATAGTTATTCGTCTTCGAAATTAATCGAATTCTGAAAGGTACCCTGTACGTCCTCTAGTCTAGAACATATTTTATGCTAGTAAATTTCGAATTATACTTTAGAGGTGACTCATCCTGAGTTGAACTTAAAAGATTTGTTACAATGTGAAGTGTTGATTATTAAATGTCCTCTTCAAAGATATACAAATTATTTTACTAATGTTATTTTTGTTTATGGAATTTTTGATCTTAAAAGAATGCATGTACTGAATATACTGTTTTGAATAAACTGCTCTTATGTCTTAATATGTATGACTTTCTTGAGGTAAGTTAAACCCTTTTTGAATTGGGAAAGTTATTCAGTGATAGAACTTGGTATCCTCAAAGATATATGTTGCTTTTCCTTGGAACCTAAGACAACTGGCTTTAGTTACTGAGTTTATTAATTCTCATTAATTATCCAAAGATGCGTACTCATGTGAGATAAATTTTATCACTAAATGTTCAGTTTTTCAAAAATTTAATTACTGTCCTGGGAAAAAGCACTAATAGTAATCTGTCAACATAAGAAATGTCCAAAACTGTAGAGAATTTTTATTAATAGTTTATTTGAACCAAAACTGATGACAGTTGCTGGGAAGGAAGATGTAAATCCTCCAGAGAATAATGGCTTTGGCCTCTAAGAATACTGGAATTATATAATAAAGCCATTGAGATTTTTACCTCTAGAATTCATACTTCAGCATCTAAAGGTCAGATTGTCAAATAATTGAATGCTTACTATACTGACACTGTCCATAATTGTTGAAATACAACACAGCTTATCCATCCTTTACACTTAAATTAGGAGGGGGAGTTTAAACCCTTCCACTACCCAAAGAGGATTTGAAGAGATCACCATTTCAGTGTCTTCAGGCCTTTGGTCTTTGGGAGTGTTGTTTAGAGAGTAAGCAAAGATAATGTGTAACAGATAAAGTCCTGATATGTCAGTTTATCAATAAGACATTGGAGATAACAGTTGCCCAAACTACTTCGCTTTGAGTGTTAGTTTGCATACTTCATTTATAAAGGGAACTTTTTTTTTTAATTTATTTACTTTTTAAATACATTTGTCTCTGCCTCCCCCCTACCACTTTCCCTTGCCCCCTCCCCCCCCCCTTAACCCTTCCCCTTTGGTTTGGTCCATGAGTCCTTGCTATATGTTCCTTGACTTTCCCCATCCCTTCCCTTTCCCTGTCCCGCACCTTCCCTCTTGTCTCTGTTGATATCTTTTCCTTATAAAGGGAACTTTTTATAGAAAAAAGGATTGAAGAAACTCTTAGGGAAATTTTTCAGATAAGAGGATTTGAAGAAATTCCACTTTCAAAAGTTTAGGTTGTGAAGTTACTAAACAAGACACAGATAATATTTTACTATCTTATTTAATTACCTAATTTAAAACCCAGAAGTTCCATATTTGAGATAATTATGTATAAGAAGTCAAAAGCTCTTTAAACAATCAGGTAACTCACTCACTTTTCTGCTATTATCTAACACTTTATAAATCATTTATACAGTAAAATTGTGGCTAACCCCATTTTTCACCTTTTTGTTGTTGGTAATGGAGTTTTATCTAAGACAGAGTTATTCTTTAAATGTTCTGCTTTTTAAAAATGGAATATAGTCAGTGTTTTTTCAGAATATTCAGTATTCCGCTAAAAACAGAGCTGTAGTACAAAACTGGGCTACCTGGTTTACTGACTCTAGAGGTGGGCCTGGAACTTCCTTTCTTGCCGAAGGTCCATTGTAACAGCTTTCTTTTGTTATTTGCCTCTTTTTCATTAAGTTGAAACACAGCCAGAGAAGCTCCTATAATAGATTAGTCCTCAATCAGCTATCTGCCGTCTAAGACTCCTAAAGGAGCTATACAGAGGCAACACTTCAAGGGGATGCACAGTTCAATACTACCAAGCCCTGAACCCCCGAGGTCTGTAGATCTGCAGTGGATTATGGAGTAAAAAGGACTCCTTTTGTAAACCCTACTGTGGTAGCCAGTTAACTTGGCTCCTTTTCTCCTACATCCAAGCCTTCAAGGCTTTTACTTATATGTTAATGGGAAGAGGCCCCAAAACAGGATAAGAAAATGGTTCTGTTATCAGTGGTCTCATCCTTTCATTGTACTGCACCCTTCATTTGCTATAAACCCAACAAACCCTGGTATCAAAGGGGACAGATCTGGAGCTTCTATCAACCACTACAGGCTTGTTAGAAGATGGCAAAGCAGCAGCACAAAGCAGTCCGAAAGGAAAGGCAAGGCGCCTACAGAAGATTAGCTCAGGTGTTCCGCTCTAGGCACTGTCTGGGAGCTTCGTAGACAGGAGCCTATTTATCTGCACAACAACCCTGTGAACTAAGAGGGGAATTAAGTCCCCTCTTTACAGATGAGAAAACTATAGCAAAGATAAATAATTTGCCCAAGGTGGTTATACGGATAGTAAATGGCAGAGCCAAAGTTACTGGGCTCCATACTCAACTGGTATGATATGCAGCCTTCTCTTTGATACTAATCCAAAAAGAGGCAGGGCCCTAGAAATAGATGTCCTTGCTCCAGAACTACTTGTAGCTCTTTTCTTTCTTTGACTACAATCTGTAGCCCTAATTGCTTGTCTCCTCTAAATTGGGGCATAAAGAGGCTTTCAGTTGCTGTTAAAATATGCCTTTGACATACAAAAAGGTGCTAATCTGGATGCCTGTTTTAAAAAACAGTTTTTCAGAATTAAAGCCACCTCCTCTCAACATACATTTTTGGCTTCTAGAAAATCTTCCTTAATGTTAATGAGTTAATATTTCTAAAGCACTTAGAATAGTGCCTGGCACATGTAAGTGAAAAATAGAACAAATGTATTTTAATTCAGCACCATACAAACCACTTTCCATTTTTCATTACTTGCAGTAAGTCAACTTTATGAGTATATGTAGCAATGGTGAATCTTTATTTTTTTCTATTTTAGTGAAAAATAAAACCTACATTTAAAAAAACCTACAAATTACCATCAGAGATGATATTTCCACTAACGCGTCACAGTTTTCTTCAAGCTTTTGCTTAATATTGAAGAGAAATGCAGAGATAAACAACGTTAAAAATATTTAATAAAATGGAAAGTCCTAATGTATCATTGTAGTGGTTCAACCTTCATAAATAGTCTTTTTTATCATGATTTTAATCAGAATAATTACACTGATCTATAGTATAAATCCATGAAGGAGCATTGTGGGGTACTGAATGATAAAACTGGTCCTTAAAATTGGATTTTTTTTCTTTAGAATGACCTCTATCCTTAGTCTCTGTCTGCACTTTCAGATAAGCCTATGTGCTGAAAAAAACTCTAAAAAGCCGAGAATGAAACAGTCAAAAGAGAATTAAGTCTACAAATCCATCTTTGAAAGTTAGGATAACGACGTTTTCTAATCAGAAGTTTTGTTTAAAAGTTCGTATTAGAACACGAGAAAAATTGATCTGTATTAATTATGTAACCTGGACTTAATTCAGTGTTATAGATAGATAGGAGCCATCATTAAAATAAACTTACTTCATCCAACACTGTAAACATTTGTTTAAAAAGCAAAAAATCCATTTTAGCTTTGAACAACTTTATAGAACAACATAATGACATTTATGAGTTTGAAGCATCACCACCTTTGCAATGATGTACAAAGCTCAAAAGTCTTTTACCCCTTCACTGTGCTTTGGGATCTTTAAATGTTTGTCTTTCCAGGGAAGTCAGTTTCACAAAACCATGTCAATTAGTGTTTTTTACTGTGCTAAGCACTCAAAATAACCTGGGGAGCTTTTAAATTTTACAATATCCACAGCATATCCCTAACCAATTAAATCAGAATTTCTGTGGGTGGGATCCAGGTATCAGACATTTTCAAAACTGCCAGGTGACTCCAATGTGCAGGAAAGCTTTTAAACTATTGGCCTACGTACTCTAATTTAGACATGGGCTTCAGGATTCTGCTCTACTGCCTTTTGGTGATTCACATACACAAACAATTGCAACTGTTTGGCTTTCTGATCCCAAAGAATTGGGCCAAAGTAGATTAACCAGAATGGTACTAGATTCGAAGTATTCCTTTTGTGCTTGCTCATTTCAAGTTCTAAACACACAACAATCCATTTACTGTTTTTGATACTGGGATAATTTTTTTATTCCTCTACCATGTACTATTTACCAGATGAAAAGCATACTCCAATTATAAAAGGACATCTAAAACACACCTATATCGCTTGTATCTTTTACTATAAACGGTTGTACATATTACACAACTTGCACCACATGTGCTCTCTTGTCACTTTGACAATGATTCCTGACTTCAACAGTTTTGAGTCTGGTTGTTTTGCAACTTCCAGTCACTATCATGTCCTCTTCCTTCTACCCCAGTGCTTTTTTTCCTCTCCTATATTTTAATTTTAAAATACTTCCTTTACCTACATAAAACAGTAGAGATCACATTTTTTCCTCCAAAATTTTTCTTCTGCATACATCTATTACAGATATCACACCATCTCACTCACTGAGCTGTGATCTTGAACAGGGGCAGAGTTTCACTCACCTTTGTATAAGTAGTACTGTTAAACCACTACCTACCATGTAGCAGGCTCTCTAAATGTTTATTCACATAAACTAAGAAAAGCTGCCATTACCCATACCAGAATTTATGTTGTCTTTACCATAACTGGGGATAAAATACTCCTTTAACATTCAGACTTACGTAGATTTGAATTAGGTGATAGTGATTTTTTTTTTCTTTTCCAGGTTTGTATTTCAGCAGGCAGAAAAGTTTGCAAAGGTGGAAAACCAATACCAGTTATTGAAAATAGAAACCAATGAATTCCAAGGACTTCAAAGTAAAATCAGTTTGATTTCAGAAAAGGTAATTATTAATTGACTTATTTGGGAAGATTTTCCCATTTTTCCCCCCAGTATCACCATTCTACCCCAGTTCACAAATTCTCTTTTTCTATCTTTTAGACAATACTATTTTAACTCTCACAGGTCACCCTACATCTTTAGAGTCTCCCTTCTATCCAATTTAGACTTAAATTATATTTTGAAAGGACAAGGATTTTATTTTTTACCATAACCAATGTTATTGTTTGAAAAGATCAATATGCTCATATTGAGTTGACTTCAATTTTCTATTTATACATCAAGTGTCTAAGTAGAGCACTGAAAATAATTGATCTTTAAATATAAAATCAGGATAAGCATTCATTGAACAAATTCTTCAGTGTTTGTTTCTCTTCTTTCCACTTGGTAAGCATATACACATGTGCACATGAGACTCATGAACCTAAAAATAAATAATGATTTTGTAACAAAATTAAAATTAAAATTCATGTCTTTGTTGTGTTTCTTAAAACTGCGAATGCAGATGCATTATTTCTGTGATTCTTAGAAATGTGAGACAAAAAGTTTTAACTGCCACATTTCTCAGGAGAAAGTCTGCAGTAATCAATAAGGCATCATGTGGGCCTTGCCTGGCTACTAGGGACCAAGCTATCATTGGGAAACATGTCTTACTGGGTCATTTATTCATTCACTAAATCTTTACTCATGTCATAAGGTAGACGGCACTTGTGCTTGGCACCAGGGTGAGCAAGGATGTTATACAAATAAACATAAGTGAAATAGAGAGTCTAAGTTACTGCACCCTCATGCATAGGATGAGCATATACTCCCTCAGAAGACAAAGGCCACAGATTAAAATTACACATCCCTTGAACATGGCAGGGGATCGAATGTGAACTTTAGGGGCCTCTGGGAAAGAGCTGCAAGAATCAATATTTTGATGTAGAGCTCAAGTTGGAATCTGGTTATAATTGTTGGGGACCCTCCAAATCAGAAGGAACATAATGATTAAAAAAAAAAAATCCAGGCTCTGGCTGGTGTGGCTCAGTGGATTGAATGCTGGCCTGCAAACCAAAGGGTCCCTGGTTGGATTCCCAGTCAGGGCACATGCCTAGGTTGCGAGCCAGGTCCCCAGCAGGCGGCATGCAAGACGCAGCCACACAATGATATTTCTCTCCCTCTTTTTCTCCCTCCTTTCCCCTCTCTAAAAATAAATATTTTTTTTTTTAATTGAGGAGACAGAAATTTCATGGGCTTAAAAGCTATTGAAAACAAGTTTTGAAGAAGGGTTACCTTTTTAAGTGAAAATTTTGATAGCAATTAAAATGCTTTTTGAAGCAGATGTTTAAAATATCATAGGATGCAAAAAATATTCAGTCTTTGCATAGCTCTTTCTCCCGCTCCGCCCTAGGAAGTAGTTTAACAATAGCTGCCTTTTCACAAAGCTGACCCTAGTGGACAGCACAATGCAGTAGAAGGGGAAAACGAGTAGCCATGAGTTCCCATTACAATTGTATCACCTTGTTCTTTAACCTCTGTTGGCCTCCATTTCCTTATTCATTAAATGAGAGTAATGAGCTTTTTTATAAAGATGAGATACAATATATACATAAACCCTATGAACGCTTTCAAGAAGTAATAAATTTAAGGTATGAGCTCTTTTTTTTTTTAAGTGAAAAACTATTAGAATATATGGCAGTCCATAAATGCCAGCTATTGCGGTATACTAGGCACTATATACAGGAAGAGGCAAAAGTAGGTTTACAGTGAGCATGCAAAACAGTTTATTATTATTTATTAGTTAATGTATTATTTTCCATATGAACACCTGTAAACTTACTTTTCCCCCACCTTGTATTTGCAGATTAAATCTTGAGACCTTATTATCCTGCAAAGTTGATCTTTTCAACCTCTGGGGTCTACTGGTTATAGTAATGCTCTGATGAGCCGCCCAAACAGGAAATTGCCTTAGGTGAGGATAAGCTTGCCTTTTCAAAATGCTGCTAAAAAGACAACTAAACCTAGAATTATTACCAATGTACACATATTTCCCAGAATTCCTTTTTAAAGGAACTCGTGTCAGGGCTACAAGTGTGCATTAAAAATAATTTGTAGACAAGGTTTCAATGTGATCTTATTGTCCTGTTGAACATTTGTTCCCAGCTGTCACCTGGAACTGCTTCAGGAGTGATTGAAGTGGGCCCAGAAGGTTTAAGGCCATTCTTCATAAACATCAGCAAACATGTTCTTTATCCCCCAAGATACAGGGCCTACAAAAATGCATGAGACTTGGTCTCTTCCCCTACAGAATTTAGAAGTGCTCCTATTTTCACCTGGCTAATTCATCAGTCTGTTCAAGGGTCAGATTTCAGAGTCACTTCTAAGCCTTTCCTCCTTGACACTCAGAGTCTGACCTCTCCTCCAAGCATCCATTCTCCCATGCTAATTCTGTCATGACACAAATCATATAACCTATTGTGATTTTTTTGTCTTTATTAATCTGTCTCCTTTTATCAATTTGTCTCCTTTACTGATCCTTAGGACAAACACAGCATCTTTTATCTCTATATCCCTCCTGCCTACTAATGGAATAGAGGGCACTTAATAAGTCTTACTGGAACTCTAGAATATGTGATGTAAAAGATACAAGGCACTATGTCCCCTAACCCAGTAGTGAAGCCAGGGACTATCCTATATCTATATTTTTATACCCAGTGTCTAGCACAGAGTGAATACTCAAAAATTCTTGAATTATATGTGCTAAGTGCCAAATAGGTGGCAAATGCATAGTATGATATGTGCTGTAGGAGTTCAAACTGTCAGGCTAGGGCTAAGGCAGAATGCTCCATTGATGAGCAGAGATCTGGTCTGAGCCTTGAAGGAAGGACAGAACTTAGCTAAGCAAAGAGGAGGCATAACAAGCATAGAGAGAGGTTATGGAATTTAGGACTTGATCCTAGAAGTATTAGGAAACACTGTGGGTTTTTTAATGTTGTCCATGATGTGCGTAGCAGTTTTTAAAAGCTTAATCTGGCTGTAGTGTGTAGAATAATTTGAGAGAAAGTAACTAGAAGCAGATATTAAATAATGCTTCTACAATATTTTCCTTGATCATTGAAGTTTTGTTTGGGTGCCCCATGTAAGTGCTTCCATAGTTCTTTCCCTGTTATATATAGACTTGGCTTTCACCCCAATTAAACTAAGGTGTTTAAGGGCAGAATTGTGTCTTGTACAGTATTAAGTCTTCAACACAAGGCTTCAAACATAAATTAATGTTCATTTCTAGGCTTTCTTGTGTCTGTGAGGCTGTTATCTATGTGAGCATAGACTAAGGGAGGTCCACAACCTGGTCCATGTATGTTCCAGACATATATTGGAACATGCCAAGAGCTTACTATAATTTGCAGATACTTAAAACACTTTACTATTTAACATAAGCTGTCTCATTAAACAGGTTTTGGTTTTTTTTAATTCATTTTACCTTTGTGATACCTGTAAGATCTGTTTCTGGTAGCTTCTCCACAAAGCTTAGTCAACTAATTTCTTTCCAAGCAGAAACTCTTCCAGAATCATTGGATTTAGAAAAATTAATAAATTTTGTAACTACTTACAGTTTCTAAAAAAAAGTCAAATAACCATATAAATGACAACTAAGTTGCTTTCCATTAAAGTTAAAAAAAAAAAAAAAGAAAGAAATGTGATATACTTCAAATCCTTTAGCATTATTTCTCACTTGAATACCCCTCCATGAAAATGTGCCCATATTTAGGATTATAAATTCAGTGCTAATCTACTAAATCTGTTTTAAATATTTTAAAACAGCATTAAAGTAAAATGTATTTGTCAATGTGGTTCTGATATACTTAGTATTATAGTCATCTTCAGAATTTGAACTTCACACGTGCTTATTAAAGTGTGTTTCCCTGATATAAAAGTTATTAAGTAGCCTTGGGAATTGTTTTGTGTTATAAATGCAGCTTGAGTCTACTGAAAGTATCCTGCAGGAAGCTACGTCATCCATGTCTTTGGTGACCCAGTTTGAGCAGGAAGTATCCAGCCTCCAGCATATCATGCATGACATTCAAAATAGTGAAGAGATGCTCACTCAAAAGATGCAAAGCCTTAATGAGAAATTCCAAAATGTTACTAATTTCTGGAAGAGAAGCCTAGAAGAAATGAATGTTAATACAGACATTTTTAAGTCAGAATCAAAGCATATACATTCTCAAATTACTGTCCAAATTAACTCAGCTGAACAAGGAATAAAATTGCTCACTGAAAGGCTAAAAGATTTAGAAGACAGCACACTCAGAAACATTAGAACAGTGAAAAGACAGGAAGAAGAGGATCTTCTGCGGGTGGAGGAGCAGCTGGGCTCTGATACAAGAGCAGTTGAAAAGCTAGAAGAGGAACAGCATGCTCTCTTTGCCAGGGATGAAGACCTGACTAACAAGCTTTCCAGCTATGAACCCAAAGTGGAAGAGTGCAAGACACATTTGCCAACCATTGAAAGTGCAATTCGCTCTGTTCTCAAGGTGTCTCAGGATCTGATAGGGACAGAAAAGAAAATGGAAGACTTAACTACTCAGATTTTTAATGTGGAAGATGATATGCTGAAAGCTGTATCTGAGATCATGGAGATGCAGAAAACCCTTGAAGGACTTCAGTATGATAATACCATATTAAAGATGCAAAATGAACTGGATGTTCTGAAAGGAAAAGTTCATGACTTTGCAGTATATTCGAGTACAAGAGAAAAGGGAGCTTTAGAAGAACGTAATCTGGAAAATAAAGGAATTGATAGTGATTTTTAAATGCACTACATTTATTCTGATGAACCATATTATTATACATAACTTGATTAGTTCATGCCTTGGCATTGTTTGATAACGTCTCACATTATCCTACATTGTGATAAAAGAAGTGAGATTCTTTTATCCACACAGATTATCCAGATGAGCAAAACTTCTCTCTTTAAGCAATAAAACACAAAATTTATTTTATTTTAACCATTTTAAATAGAAATATTTTTAAATATATATTTCTCTACTTTTTAAAAAGCAATATACTTAATATTTTTAAGTGCTTTTCTAATAATTTATAGTCATCATTACGAATTTCATCTATTGGGCCAAAACATAATAATGCCTCTAGGAGCTAATGAGGAGAGTTTACCTCCTCACTAAATGATCCCAGTTTGCAATTTTTCAAATTTTATATCTGTTGTACTTCTACCTTTCCTGTCACATTAAAAGGTGACCCACTGACCTGACTAGTGTCAGGTCGGTTGGTAAAATGCCAGTCTCAGCCAGGTCTTCATTTCCTTTGCAATTTACTACAGGCTAAGAATCCAGGCAACGAAGTTCATAGGAATTTTGTCTAAAATAAAAGGTATCATGCCCAAGGGCAAGCCTGGGGTGCTTTGCTATGAATTAATATGCACTTTTTGAAAACAATGGAACCTTGGAAACATTTTTTTAACTTTTTGTTAAGGTTCTAAACTGTTACAGATACTTGTAAGAATTTTTAAATAAGAGCAAATACAGAGTGGGGCAAATGTAGGTTTACAGCTGTGAGTATGTGAAACAGTTTATTATATTATCACTTATTAACTTGTATTATTTTCCACATGAACAACTGTAAACCTACTTTTGCCCATCTCTGTATGTTTTTACTGAAGGTTTTTCCTATGAATTAAGTGTGTATGCTTTTAAGTGTGGACTTTTGGAATATCTCTGCATTGCTGGACTTTTTTTTTTTAAAAGGTTCTGACTGTATTACAGACCCTTGAGTTTGCTAGATACAGGATCTCTAGAGAAATCACACACCAATAAGCCTGTGGCCTATTTTAAAGAGGAAAAAGCGGCAAAATGAGAAATGATGACAGACAGCCTGCCACCTCCCTAATTCTCCAGCCTCACCTTTTTCCACTCCTTCCCTCCTTCCCTGCTCGCACTTTTACACTTAAGTTTCTGCCTGGAATGCTCCCTCCTCTCCTTGAGGGTCTTTCTCAAACTTCACCTTCCCTTACCCCCTCCACCTGTGCCAGCCCCCGCCCCATGTAAAACTGTAAGCTTCCAATTCCCTATCCCCTTAACAAACTGTGTAACAGATTTCATTAACTGTTATCCCCAGAATAAGTTATAGGAATGCAAGGATTTATCTCTTGTTCACTACTATATCCCCAAGGACCAGATTGATGCCAGTTAAGTCAATATTTATAGGTGAATGAAAGTGTCATAAATGACGCTTAAGAGATGTTTGCTGGGCAGCTGGCTTGTTCCAAGTTTGTGAAAGTCAAGACAAGTAAGACGCTGTCCTGGCCTTTAATGCACCAGCTAGAGAACTGCACCACAGCAAAAATCTGCAACATGGGGCTACAAACTGAGGCCAAGGGCAGATGTGCCAAATGCTCATAGGATGAGACCTCAGGGCTTTACCTTTCCGGGGACCAGTTCAGCTTCCCCCCATCGCGCAGCTCTCCCTGTTCTCTGTATTCCTAGGGTGTGGGGGGCGTTAGAGTTAGGTCACCATCCAGAGGTGCGATGCCCCTCCTCTTCAACACAGCCACAGGATTTAATGAAACATTTAAAAGGCTCCGCTCTTCAGCCTCCGCCCTGTCTCCTTTGCCCCAGGGCCACTCCCCACAGTGGGCTGAGTACATAAAAAATAAAATCAGAGATGATGAAAACTAAGGTAATTAAAAGTACATAATTATTTTAAAGAGTCTCCAAACTAATTACCCAAATTTGTTTCATATAGTGATTTGATTTTACTCAAAAGTCTATAATAGAGTCACAAGGCATAAGACATGGATATGCTGATATGTGGTTAAGCAGAGATGTAGCTGTATTTTTTGAATAACCATAATCAGAAATGTGCAGTCTTCTGGAACACAGGGACTTTTATTGATAAACTGAAGTAACAAGAGTGTCCAAACTTGGTGTTGAAAACTGAGTCAACTGCATGTAGAAGACAATAACCAACTGTAGTCCCAGTTTTATAATGCAATTTCATTGGAATTCAGCATAAAGGACTTGAAAGCAGTTGGCTATAAAAGGTAGTTGTGGTCAGGTAGTTTTACTATGTAAATCTGCACAAAATTCCAAACAAGTTCTGCTATGGTAGACAGGCATTGACCATAAAAATGGAAGAGTACTACTATTAAAGAGGCATAGCATTAATTTCTGGAAACAAAGTTAAATTTCTTGAGTTCTGAATTTCTAATTTCATGTCTATGTGCACTGACAAATTGTATTTGTTTGCTTTTATTTTCATGCTAATAAAACATTATAAAGTTAGCTGGAACTTTGTTCATTCAACCTCCATCCTGTAAGATGAGATGTGATCTCTTGTATTCTTTACTTCTACATATTTGTTTTTCTGGCCTGTCACTATATTTGATACATCGTTATTATTAATAACGTGTATACCACAGTAAGTTACAGAAAATAAAGGGAAACAATGTGGCCACTGTGCTCTACAGTGAGTTACAAGAGAAACCCAAACTGTCCTTCTATAAGGATTTCATAAAACTATTATGTGTGTGTGTGTACACATGTATATATTCTTTTACACACAGTTTTCCCTATTTAAAAATGTCATTAGAGTCCTGGCTGGTGTGGCTCAGTGGATTAAGTGCCAGCCTGCAAACCAAAGGGTCACTGGTTCAATTCCCAGTCTAGGGCACATGCCTGGGTTGCCGGCCAGGTCCCCAGTAGGGGGCGTGTGAGAGGCAACCACACGTTGATGTTTCTCTCCCTCTCTTTCTCCTTCCCTTCCCCTCTTTAAAAATAAATAAATAAAATCTTTTTTAAAAAAGTCATTAGAGAGTTTTAGATGTACCTAATTATCTTCCTCTGTTTCTTACATTCATTTATTTAACAAAATACTTGAAATTTCTAAAACCTCCCTGTGTATCAAATGTTAAATTACATTGTTGATCTTTCCTTTAAGGAAGATTACCATATTCTAAGACACACTTTTCTATCTTTGTAATTAATAATTGATTTTATATCAATTGATTCCTGATACTAGATATTGGACCCATTATAAAAAAAAATTTAGCACATGTATAAATTACTTTTACAAAACAAACACCTAATTTTTTTAAACTCTTGGATATAAACTTACAAAGTATATTTATGTTGATATTTCTTTAAATTTTGATTAGACACTTGACCTGGTGTACTTTTATGTTTTATAATGAAAAATATTGATTTATTCACCTGTATAGTTCATAGAAAACTACACTTGTAAGTTATAAATTTAATGGCATTATTTTTTTAATCTCAACCTAATTGTAGACCTTTGACTAAATCTATAACCTTTTAAAAAATATTTATGGATTTTAGAGAGGCATCAATTTGTTGTTCCACATATTTATACATTCAGTGGTTGATTTTTGTATGTGTCGTGACCAGAGATCGAACCCACAGTCTTGTCTTTTCAGGATGACACTAACCTACTGAACTACCCGGCCAGGGCTGCATCTATAATCTTGATCAAAGTTTAATGTGATCTCATTATACAATAATAATGCTGTAGATTCACCAAATGCACAAACCAAAAACAAACTTTTTTTCTATAGCCTAACCTCACATTTGCACAGTTGGCAAAAAGCTATACAAATTCACCCATCTGTATGTTTCAGTTCAGCTATCAACTATCAATTTGGTACAAATCAAAATGCTCCATCCCAGCTTTACATAGCAGGGGAGAAGAGAACTAACATATTGCTACACTGTTAGGACGTCTCCATTCATCATTATCATCCTAACAGCTCTCTGTTGAGTGCCTGCTGGATGTCAGTCACTGTGCAAGGCACTTTGCATGTCTTATTAATTCTCACCATAACTTTGCTAGCTGTGAGACCCATTTTACAAATGAGGAAGTTGAGACTCAGCAAGATTAGGAATCTTGCAATCAAGCTACTGGGTCTGTCTACCTCCAGAAGCTACTGACCTCACACTATTCAACACGACCTGCTGCTGTTCAAGCAGGCAAGGAAAAAATCATAAGGAATCTGTCAATAGAACATCTTTGAGAATTCAAAAAGCCATAATTCAGCAAAATTTGGTGGTAGATGATGACTACTATGTCACCATTAAACTAGACTGTAAGTCACTCAAAAGTTGTAACTATGACCTAAAATTGTTTGGGCCTTGGCGATAAGAAGGAATTGAGAAATGCTTGAGAAAGAGTTGAAAAGCAATGGTGGAAGAAGAATGGTAGATACGGATCTTCTGACCTAGGCCTTGCCACTAACTGTGTTTGGGGCCCTTGATTTTGGAGCTGTTTTAAATTTGTAAAGTGAGGGAATTACACCAAATAATGCGAGACTCCCTCCTCCTCCTCCTCCTCCCTTCTCCAGCAACTGAAAAATAATTCACTATCATTTAGCTCATTTTGTTACTGAACAGAGGATTGCTTGTACAAAAAATAATGACTGAAAAATGTCATTTCCAGTAACATTTTATATTTCCTTAATATTTTCCTTCTTATTCATTAGTAATACACATATCTTTTACCAAATGCTTTCCAGAGAAGCAGTGAAATTATGGTTAAAACTAATAAAATTGAAGTTGAATTTTAAGTTAAGCTTTTAACCAATTTAATTATTGTGGTGTTATATTTTCTTATAGTGTCAGAAGTCTGAAGCTATCATGGAGCAATTGAAGTCTTTTCAAATAATTGCTCATCTAGAGCATCTACAGAAGGAAATTTATGAGCTGAAAGCTTGGTGCAACAAGATAACTGAGAAACAGGATACACTGAACAACAATTTAACAACTGTTTCTGAAGATGTTACAAAAGTAGACCAAAATACAATTTCCATGGCAAAAGATGTTGGTCTGAAGACTACCACTATAAGAACAGATATACGACGTATTTCAGGTTTAGTAACTGATATAACATCATTGAAAGATTCTGTGCAAGAACTGGAAAATAAAATAGAAAAAGTAGAGAAAAATACAGTAAAAAACATAGGTGATCTTCTTTCAAGCAGCATTGACCGAACAGCAATGCTCCGAAAGACAGCATCTGAAAATTCACAGAGAATTAACTCTGTTAAGGAGGTGCTTTCAGAGCTAAAGAGTGATTTCAACAAGCACACAGATAGGTTTTTAAGCTTAGAAAGTGATAGAGCTAAAGTTCTGAAGACAGTGACTTTTGCAAATGATCTAAAGCCAAAGGTATATAATCTAAAGAAGGATTTTTCCCGTTTGGAACCATTGGTAAATGATTTAACACTACGCATTGGGAGATTGGTTGCTGACTTACTACAAAGAGAGAAAGAAATTGCTTTCTTAAATGAAAAAATATCTAATTTCACAATAGTCCAAGCTGAAATTAAGGATATACAAGATGAAATAACACACATTTCAGGTATGGATTAGCTTGAAATTATTTAGATTACGGTGACTTGTTTGGTAATGGGACCTCTGTCATGTTGTGAAAAGACTGACAAATTAGAATTAATGAAGTTCTGGGGTAAATACCTTTTTGTACACGATTCTGTTTTGTATAGTAAAAATAAAATTTTTTAAAGTGTTGAGCACTTGATTTTTCAAAATCAGCATGCTAAAACATATACTTGAAACTTTCTTTAGCCTAATACATCAGAGAGAGAGAGAGAGAGAGAGAGAGAGAGAGACAAGTCTGGAGAAGCAGGAACTGCCAGTTGAGCACCGGGAAATCTAGATGGGGCAGCATCTGAGTCCCCGCTTGTCCTCATTGACTGCCAGGGAGCACAGTATAGGTGATCGGGGTCCTAACTGGATCCTGCCATCAGGATCGGGCTGTTGCATTCATTATCCACTTAGGGAGTGCTTAATATGTGCCAAGCACATGTGTAGGAGCCTTGAGGGATACATCACTGTGTAACAAATACCCCCTGATCTTACAGAACTTAGAGCTGGCTACTAGGGGGTTTAATCCATGCTCTGGTTGCAAGAAACAGTAATCCAAATTATCTCATGGGGAAAATAAAGGGGGTTTATTAATCTCACAAGTATCCCAAAGAACAAATTATGTTATAACCACTGCTCATGGGATTTGGAACCGGAAGGCCAGTACCAATAGAGACAGAGCTCTCTTCTTCCCTCTGGGAGACCAGAGCATTGACCTCACCTAGGCACTCGTTACCAATGCAGAATCTCAGGCTCCACTTCAGAGCTACTGAATCAGAATCTGCATCTGTGATCAAATCCTGAGGAAACCCGTGTGGACATTGATGTTTGAGAAGGATTGCTGTAAGAGAAACTTGAAGGAGGAATATGTCCTTGTAAGTTTTTCTATGAACATATGTATTTTTTTAAAAAGATTGTCTAGTATTACATGTTAGCCACTATAATTAGTATTAAAATTAATTGAGCCCAGAGAAATTTTCTTCCTGCTACTTTGATTCCCTGTTACTCTCTTCTCTTTCCTGAACTGCTGTTCCACTTGAAGTTTCCCTCACAGCTTTATTGTTTTTTTTATTTCTGAAGATTGTTTAAAATTTATTTTTACAGAGAGGGGAAGAAAGGGAAAAAGGGAGTGAAACATCAATGTGAGAGAGAAACTACTCCACCAGGGGGACCTGGCCCACAACCCAGGCATGTGCCCTGACTGGGAATCAAACCAGCAACCTTTTGGTTCACAGGCCAGCACTCAGTCCACTGAGCCATACCAGCCAGGACTTACTGCTTAATTTTGATTTAAGTATTGAGAGTCCATCATATTTTCAAATGGTTTCATAGCTGTCTGAAACTAGATTTTGAGTTTCTAGATAAATTGTATCTTTTTTTTTTAATGGTATCTCTTTGCACCTAGCATATAGCTGAGATAGAGTAAGCACTTAATATGTGTTTGCCTTAAATACTAAGAATGGAATCCATTATATATGGTAGCTATGTTACTAAATACAGCAGCTATTAGTATTTGGGGTATTTGAGTTCTCTTGTTTGAAACTATTATGATTTTTATGATAGATTTTCCATAATTACAGAGGCAAAAGACAGGTTTGTTGAAGACTTTGATTCATGTGTTTTAACATAGTAGGAACTACAGGGACAGTGAATGCAGGGGTATCTGGGTTCCAATCCTGGCTCTACTACCACCACTTAGTTCCATGACATGGGAAAAATTTAGTATCTGTTGACCTTAATTTCTTCATCTGTTAATAATAATAATAATAATAATAATAATAATACCACCTACCTTACAGGGCTGCTGTGAATATTAGCATTAACATATCTAAAGTGCCTGGCACATCTAATACAGGGCAAAGCCACTAAATAATACAACAGAAAGTTACATAGTATGGGACTGTTTTTTTTATAAACAGCTCTATATTAGAAAGGGAGATCACCGTAGTACAGTACACCCTCCTGTAGTATTTATTCATAATGATGCCAAATGAAATGTAAATTATATTCATGTAATCATCTTAATAAAACATGCATTTCAGACATGAAAAAATGTAAAAATTTCAGCACTTAAAAATACGTATTTATTCTGAAAATTCATTTATGAGGAATATTTTTTTCTATCAGTGCCAAAAAATAAGGAACTAATCTTACTTGGTGCTGGTTGTCCTCATTATTGAAATAATGATTCACAAATCCGTCAGCAGATTGGTGGTCGTACTGAGAAGGAGCCCTAAAATCTGCAGTGTCACCGGGCTCATGGTCACGGTTTTGTCTTCGAGTCAGATAGCTTTTGTGGCAAATACAGGAGGATGGAAAACTTTCAATCTGTTCCCCAACAGTAGAAAATGTAAAATCACTTATTTCAATATAAATACATCTTATGGGTGAGTCATCTTCAGCTGTCAAATTTCCCTGCACTAATATCATTTAAAGTCTAACCAACTGTGGTAGTCAATAAGATCTGTAAGTAATTGTTTATCACTAAGTAAAAGTGGGGTACAATATATTTTCAGATGTTAATGATGTCTGAATAGTTTTAATCTTGGTTAATATAGCGCTCTGAGATTGACTCATGGGTCTTGAAGTAATAAAGATATTTCCCCTCACATGAACTATCCTCCATTTTCAAATCTTGTGTATACCACATCCCACAAAAACAGCTGAATTGTATATCAAATCACAGTATTCGATAGGAATTACAGTATGTCTTGTGTAGGAGACACATTCCCTAGGTTTTTATTCAGCATAGATAATGTTTATTAAGTGACTGTTGCATGCATGGCACTTTAGAGTCTATAAAAACACGTGAAAACTTTGGAATTGTTGCTTTCTAGAAAACTCAAGTAGCATTGTAATAACCAAAAGATTCATAAATTGTATCAGTGGTGAAGTTAACATTTTACATATTCCTATGAACATTACCAAGAATGTGAACTCAGGGCTGCCATTTAACAGAGATAAATGATTTGCCTTCGCCAGGTGGCTCAGTTGGTTGGAGTGTTGTCCTGAACACTGAACGTTGCAGGTTTGATTCCCTGTCACAGTACATACCTAGTTGTGGGTTCAGTTCCCAGTTGGGGTACGAATGGGAAGCAACTGATTGGTCTCTCTCTCACACACCTTTTGCTCTCTCTAAAATCGATTTTTAAAAAGAGCACCTCAATCTTTATAAAATAAAAAAATTTAAGACGAGATAAATGATTCAACACTATCTGATGTAAGAGCTGTTAGGAGTAGTTGACTTATTAAGGTACCACAATATTTGATATATCAAGAGAGGCACAGCATTGAAGTGAACTACAGATTCCTAAAGTTTGAAATTGGTTTATTCCTTAACCATGTGGTATCTGAAATTATTAACAATTATTTTGTGATTTATCTCATAAATGATAAAAATTGTATAAACAATGATTATATAATCTTATGCTAAAGTGTATAACTCTAATTTAACAGCAAGACTGCCATACACCAAGCTTCATGAACATATGGACACTTCTTTCCCAAAAACAGTATCACAGAAATGTTAAACTCATTTTGAAATATGGTCAAAACATTTCATGAAGGTTTCCAAAATGGAGGTTTAAGCTGTATTTTTCTGTTCAATTTTATTTTACATGTCACTGGGGATGCATAATTTAGCAAAACTCAGGCTGTTTTTTTTTTTTTTTAATTGATTTTGATGCCCTGGCTGGGTGACTCTGTTGGTTGGAATGTCGTCCCATACACCAAAATGTTAGGGCACATACCTAGGTTGCAGGTTCCGGAGGCTACCAATTGTTTTCTCTTACATTGATGTTTTGTTTTTTTTTTTCTCTCTCCCCCTAACAATAAGCATAACCTCGGATGAGAATTTAAAAAATTTTTTTCCATTTTATTTTTTGATTTTGAGAGACATCGATTTGTTGTTCCACTTATTTACGCATTCATTGGTTGCTTCTCATGTGTTCCCTAACCAGACTGAACCCGCATCCTTGGTGTTTTGGGTTGACGCTCTAACCAACTTCACTGCCTGGCCAGGGCCAGGCTTTGTTTTACTGCTCTTCTAAACTATTTAAGTCATATGTGATCCCTCTGAAAGCTACTATGCAATGCTATCTTGTCCTAGCTTTATGACATAATGTGGTTAAAGAACTGATCACATACATATATTTATTCCATTGGGCTCTGATTTATGGAACTTACAATTTATTATACCAAATGTGAAAAACCAGTTATTAAAATTTCCTTATCAGGATCTTTATTTTCAGTATAAATTTTAAAATATGAAATGGGAATTCATAAAATTTCAAGTGGGTATTCTGCTTGAATTTTGAGGATGAAATGATTTTCTTTTAGAAAGCTTTGAAATATCCACTCTAGGTATTATGGACAGCTTTAACAAAGCTTACTGTAACAATACCCACAAATAAAACCAGTTCTTTCTTGAAGATAAAACTCAAATTCTACGAGGTTGGCAGAAGTGCCTCATAGTGAAGGCTGGCTAAACTGCATTTCTGGTTTTCAAATACAGTCCTGCTTTGGATTGGTTCAATATCCGTATATATCCAATCCCACAGGCTATTCTCACACTGTGACTAATACTCCTCCCAGGAAGGTGGCATCTGTGTTCCTTTCCCAAAGCTGGGATTTGGTCTTCTGGGACTTCCAATGCTGTGACCGAAAGTACAGTTGCAGTGACGCAACGCCTTCCAATGCTAAATTCTGAAAGTAGATTGAGCTTATTTGGCTCCACTTTGGAGCCCCAATACCAGCTGCTCTGGGCCACCATGCTGTAGATGTTGAAGATAAGCCACTAACAGGGAGCTGCTCGCAATTCTCTCTCCAGCTTGAGTAAGTGGAAGCCTTTCGAGATGACCCCATGGCTGCCATCTGCTTGCAACTTCAAGACACCCAGAACCGAAGAATCCAATAGAGATGCTCCTGAATTCCTGACCCACAGAAAGCTACAAACACCGTCTAGTCATTTCACATTTGCTGCACAGCAGTAACTAATGCACGGTGCTTATGCTAACTTACTACTGCTGTTACTTGCCTGGACTGTTTTCTCAAATTTGCACCTATAACCCTTCCTTTCTGTAACACAGGTAAAATGAAACTGGCACCTACAGTGAGACCAAATGATGATAGGAAGTTAATATGCAACTAGGTGCACCTGGTTTCTAAATTTACAGTATGGGTTTGTGATGAAATCATCTCTCCCTGATAAGACTCCTTAAAGTTCTTTTCATGGAGCCCCACCTGTGTACTTCAGTGATTGTCAACCCAACCCTGGTATTTATTACCAAAGGCCTCAAGGTAAAACGTCATCAGATTTGAGAAACATTTTAACTATACTGTACATTGGACTTTGACACTTCCTAAGCAAACGTAAGGGAAAACTAGAGTGGCTTACTTCCTGGAAGCTTTTCAAATAGCACTTTGGGCTCAAACCTACAACCAAATTTCAGTGCCCAGGTTCACCTGAGTACCTTCCCGGTACTCACCTATTGCAGTTGTCAAGCAGTGCCCTTTCTTAGAAACAAAACTGAAAACTTAGGGAAACTTTCTTAAATGTAAGAGTCAGATTTGCGTGAAAGAGAATTAATTACCCAAAATGGTTTATAGCTATTCAAATGCTTTGTTCCTTTTAAAAACTGTCATCCTAGCCCTGACAGTAGGGTTTGGAGTTGTCCTGCAAACCAAAAAGCAAGCTGGGTCTCAGGGCACACACCTGGGTTACAGGCCAGGTCCCAGGTTGAGGTCGTGCAGGAGGCAACAAATTGATGTCTCTCTCCCTTTCTCTCTCCCTTCCCCTCTTCCTAAAAATGTATTAAAATCCTTAGTATTGTCGAAATATAATTACAAGTGTTTATCCATATTTTAACAATTAAGTCAGATTTTTAAAAATTTAGGGTGTTTCCTAAAAATGTAAGAACTCTCTTGAATGACAAAACGAGCTATATAATAATCTGTGAGTAGGGTTCGGAGTGCTGAACCAACAGTGGTTAGCTAGCACTTTTTTCTGGAGGTCTTACACAGTACTGATTCTTTCGATTTTAGGGTTAAATCTCCCCCCCTACCCAAAGATTTTATTTATTTTTTTAGAGAGGGTACAACCCAGGCATGTGCCCTCACCAGAAATTGAACCAGTGACCTTCCACTTTCCTGGATGATGCTCAACCAACGGAGCCACATCAGGGTGGAGGTAAATCTTTAAAAACTAGTTTTAAAAATAATTATCAAGTCACCAACAAATCATGAACAGTTGGGTTTATTTCAACAACGAATTTGAAACTCATGCCTTAGGCAAGAGTACTACAGTAATTATATCAGGAATAGACAATTTCCTATACTGTCATATATATAAAAGTTCCTTTAGCACTTTCCTCAACACTGACCAACAAGCAGATTCAGTCCATGTTTGCTTTGATCTGTCTACTGAGTTAACCCAAGCTTCTTCTTCAGAGACTCTGGCATCTCGGGTGGAGGAGGGCGAGGGAGCCTGAAGTAGACCTTCACGGAGTCATAGATGAACCACTGTAGTGCAGTCAAAGTGCCGATCATGATGATACGGGCGAAGAGTCCCTTCCATACACCTGGTGGAAAACATGAAACGTGAATGGAAAATGGAATATACCCAAAAGTGTTTTTCTTTCTTTAGAGGAAAAACAACCCTACCTTTAAATCCAAGTCTCTTGAGGACCTGAGAAGCACTGCTACCTTTCTCTTTATTCAACACAGACACCACAGAATCAGCAGGGTGAGAAACAATTGCACAGAAGACTCCAGCTGGAAAAAGTCAAGAAATACGATCCAATATGGGGTCAGATAAATAAAAGAAAAAATCACGTCACAACCAACAATCTTTTCATGATTAAGAAGTAAAATTTTAGTTCTTAGAAAAAAATCAGATTTAGAGTAACACTGACAAGAAAGGTTATAAAGCAGTCTGCCTAATCTTTTAGAAGTTTTTATATTCAGATTTTAATCAACACTTTCTCTTGTATTAAAACTTTTCTTAAAAAACTGAACAAAAACAACACAAATAGTACAGCAATCAAATCAATACATTTCCAAGCTTAACCATGCAAACTATGAACCAATTCTATCAGGAACTAATTAGTAAGTATTTATGAATCCTGAAGGGCATATGAAGTGTCTATGGGAAGATCTAACTTCTTTGGAATATTTTTTTCTTCACAAAGAGGTCAGTAATGGAAATAATTATTTGTCCTTAATATCACAGACAAGCATGTCTTAAATAATTCATACCTATGTAACCTGCCACAAATGTTACAACCAGCTGCTCTGCCTTTGAACATTCACTTCGGGGCTTAGGAACCACAAACTTGTACAATGCTTCCACAGTACGTTCAAAGCAAGCAAACTTCATCATGGTGTATGGTATCTGTCTCATCCAGAGAGGAGCAACGCCCTTGTAGAATCTAGGAAATCAGAAGACTTATTTTACTCAGTTGCATATATTCATCTAGCAGAATTTCTATCATTAACAGAAGTGTCCGCATACCAGTCAAGTCCTGATAGTGAAAAAATGGCAGCACAATTGCATGTCATTTCTATCAGAACCTAAGACTAACATGCAGGTATATTTCTCTCACATGCCAATGACTCAGGCACCTTTGACTGTACAACCAGAAAAGTTGCTGGATGTTTCTTGACTGGAACTACAATAAACAGTAAGTTTACAAGTAGAACTCAGTTCAAGATTGGCATCCACAAAGGTGGATCTAAGGAAGCATGTTGTGGCCTGACTATATGCAAATTCTTAACTGTGAACACACATGACAAGAATTCTGATAAGCCCTCCCCAAAAGTTAATGTTTAGATCAAATATCAAGTCATTTATAGACTGACAAATGGTTCCTATGGTTTTAGAAAAAAACCTTAATTCAGAACTCAAACCATCATTACCAACTTATTCCAGCCCTGAATACACATACGTTCTATGAAAAATGGTGGCGTGAAAGGGGTGGGGGTTGTGATGGACATGAAACAATAACTTTTTTTTAAATTCTGGTAGGGTTAATACTAACACAATGCAGTTAGTACAGCATTTTATACTATAAATTTTAGGCAAGTATTTACTTACGCATTTAAGCCTTCTTCCTTGTACATTTTGGGAGCTGCATCCCTCAGAGTGTTAGCATAACCTGGTTGGGTTTGAATTCGAACCTTAGCAGCT